AAAAAAAAAAAAAGAGAGAAAAAAAATAATAATGAAAACAGATGCTGCATTCGGTAAGGATTAGTCAGTGGGGACGGGTGGATCCCCTTTCTGGATCATGGGGTAACTATTCCTCTTTCGGAAGGCTTATGATATCATGAAGCTTAACGCAATTAGACTGCGGCCAATAAACACAGACCAGAGTGGGTCATGATGTCGGCCTGATGCACGGGATGGCAGTTCTGTCCAATCAGATTTTTGAGAAAAAAGATCCACAGAGCTGCCTGAATCGGTTCTTGGCAATTCCGACCAGAGTATATTTACAATATGGTGGTATATATCCAGAGTAGGACCGTGGTGGTGGAATATCTGGTATATCTGTAATCTTGGGGATAGTAGGACAGGAACTAAAGACCCTGAGGCAATGTATGTTGTATCCGGGGTCAGTCTGGGGCACCACACCCCGGGCAACACAGGACACAGACTACTCGGCTGTCGGAGTCCCGAGTACAGTCTGTCCTCTGGTATTAATGCACAAAAAGCCGCATAATCCACACCTGGCCAATGCACTATTATTTATTTGAACCCATTTGGATCCACTAATCTCGGTTGGTCGACCGTCGTCCACCGTTGCTCCACCATCGCTTAGTCGATGGCCGACGGTGTCTACTTTGGACCGATCAGCATACAGACATTGGACTGACTGGCTACGGATTCCTACAGGGTATAAAGCCTGTCGACTACTATAGCGGCATGATGTAGGATGGCTACAAGGATATGTGTAAGAATTGTTGTGAATCGGAATCCTTCAGTCCGTGCCCGCCGTTGAACGCTCGTTTATTGCACGGAGAAGAGATAATGTGCGGAGAATGGAGATGGAGATAGGATGGAGATGGAGATGGGATGGAGATGCGGAAACAGCCCGTGTCGTGTCAGTAACTCGTTTGGTTTCAACCCACTGTCGAGTAAGTGTCGATACTCCGGACTCTGTAAGAGTACTGTAAGAGCAGTCAGTACCGGACGAAGCCGGACACTTGCCGCTTTCGGAACCCCCCTCGGCCAACAATTCAAGCCGAAAAGACCCCGAATGAGAAGCCGATCCACTCCGAACGCAAACACGGAATGCGCGCGAGCCCCGATTCGTTCTGGCGGTGTGGGTTTTTCTCCACGCCCCGATACAAGCACGGCCAAGATTTTACAAGATTTTTACAAGCCTTGAGAAGGATTGGGCGAAGGATGTCTTGGCCGTGCCTGTGCTGTGCCTGTGCTGCTAATGCCAAGTGCCAATATGGATGTGGTCAAAACAAGCACTGCGTCATGATAATCTAGTTGTTATACCTTGTGCAGAGTATAGTATTCAGAGAGCCGACAACGTGAATACAGACGATAACTACGGAGTACAAAGTACGAGAAAAAAGACAATAAACTATGTACTCGGAGTACTACACAGTACATCCCCAGACCCCAGACTCTCCAGGCAATAATATTCTCCATCCCCTGAATATCGGTCCACCGCCAGACACCACCGCAGTCCACAGCCCATAGCCCACAGTCCACAGTCCACAGTCCACCATGAAAACTCTGACCCATTCATATTAAACGCGGTAGAATTATTACCATCTACACCGATGACAGGACCGATTTCCTTGTAGGGTGAGGTGTTTCCTTCTCGAGAGTACTCTCCGTACAACTATGGATGCAATCTGGCACATGCTCATTACCGACTTGTTTCCGAGGTTCGCCTACCATATCCGTAAATGGAGTTTCTATGAATGTACGGAGTAGGCGAAACAATAATATGTGTACCACTTAATACTCTGTAGTATCCGTGGGTTCATTATTCCCTGGATAATTTTGGATTCTAACAAAAGGTGTTGTACTCCGTATTAGTGGCACAACTCCTCATCTCCAAGCGGCGCGTCGGTTCGTTTCTTGTACGAATCGAATCCTTCGACCCCGGATAAATCCATCTCCAAGTGGTAGTGGCGGCGGCTACCCACGGGGCAATAATATTTACTTCTTTTGTACAGACATACAAGTACGGTTCACTTTGTATGGCTCCTCCAAAGATGAGCGTCGTAATCTGCTGCATCATCCATCCCCGTGTCTCGTTCATGCGACCGAGCCTCATCCGGGGAAGATCTGCTGCAGGTGACCTTTGTACTTGTACAGCTGGCAGTCATATCAGTTGGCAGGCGTATGTATGTTCTCGTTGGTCGAGCTGATGCGTGGCGAATGCGATGCGATCGCTCGTCGACACCTGCCTGGCGCTGCTGCTGCCATCGTTTGAGTTCGTTTCGAGAGTTCGTGCGAATCTCGCGTTAATTTTATTGACGATCTTCGCTGTTCATCTCCCTGGACTATGGACAGATGGTCAGGGATGCAGTCAAGCTTTATTGACAGAACTATTCTCGTCGGGGATGAGGATCTTCTGCTGTACAACGAAGGTTAACATGCTCATCGACATATCGGTTGGGATACGATTCCTGACACAGTACTTCCGACTCGGAGTACAAGACTAGGTAACACCCGTAGTCGTGGAATACTACGAGTACATAGTACCGTATCAGCATCCTACGTACTCCTATGATGACCTGACTCATGCGAGACATATGCAGTGTTACACAGATATGCATTAATAACACATCCAATTAGTTTACCATTCACATCACTCATAAAACCAACTGCACAATCCCACATCAACCAACTCAGCTGTACTCGGAGTACTACAAAATAAGCAATCTACTCTGGAATATACCCCAATCCTTCCTTAGCCCTCCTCTTTCCCTCCTCCGTGACATTCGGATTATGCTGCGCCCTGCACATACATTAGCACCGTCCTCAATCCCACCCAACTCAATACAATCCAACAGGGGCAACACGCATCGGATCCTTATTCCCTGCTTGAGAGTTATGAATCTCCTCGCTGGGCTGGTCGCCGCCTAGGTCATCGAGGACGGACTGGGCGTTTTGTTTTGCTTCGTCGGAGGTGTTGGGGTTGTGCAGGGTGCTTTTCACATATATCCTATTAGTTTGGGTTGAGGTAGGGGAGGGGGAAGGAAGGACGGACGCTTTGTAGCCGCGCATGATGTTGACTCTGTCGTCGGCCATTTTGTAGTTTTGTAGTTTTGTAGTTTTGTAGGTTATGTTGTAGTGTATGGTTGAGGGATAGTTGACTAGCGGAATTGACTACATAGGTAGATACTTATACGTACTGTCCCCTTTCCTCTACTCGTATATATTATGTATAACTCGCCATTTGTGTCATTATCTGTCATGTACTGTGCAATATCCTGTATTCTGATCGATTTTGCATCGTGGTCAGGTCATAGTTCGGTATTTCGTAGATGGTGCAGATGTGGACTGTGCAGGTACTGATGGTGGGCTTTTGGAGAATGAGATATCGATTGACTATGATTGCGTGCTAGTTCTGTACTATGCGAGTATGGAGATATAGAAGTGAGAATACTATGAAAGGATGGTTGATATTGAAGTGTACGCGCTACATATCCGATCCGATATATATTCCGCTACAGGTCTACACCCACCACGATTGCATCTACATAATGTACAATTGACAAAAATATCCATCTACATGCTCTTCATTGCTAATCAACGCAATACCAACTGTCAATTAGCAATTCCACCCTAACTGTACTACTTTGTTGTATACAAGTTAACAAAAGTACGTCAACCTGAACACAACCCCAGACCTAGAACGAACCAGTCACCGCGTACCGAACTTCCATCTCTATTATCCCAAGTAGGCGGATACAACACTTCCAGAAATCACATCGAATGTGATTGTATTCATCCAGATCACAATGATCTGTCACGATTGAACAGATTGGCGAATTAGATTGTATCGGACTCCACTGTGATGATGTTTGATGATTGTTACTTCACGGCGACGACATCAGGTACTGCTGCGATTGGTGAGAAAATAAACATGACAGGCTGGAGTATACTTTGTAGAATCCTGTTCTACTATGATGTACTCGCGTCAGAAAGACATAAATATCCTCACCTCTGCCGTCAACTCAACCATCAACACAAGCAATTAAGCAACGAACAATTTATCCCTCCACAAAAAAAAAAAAAAAAAAAAAAAAAAAAAAAAAAAAAAAAAAAAAAACAGCTATATCAAAATTCCAATCCAAAACAAAATGTCCTCCTCAAATCCCGGCAACTTCGCCAACCGCTCCCACGAGCAAGTCGAAGACATCGCCCGGAAGGGCGGCCAGTCCTCCCACAACTCTGGCTTTACGCATATGGACGAATCTAGACAGGTATCCCTCCTTTACTCCCAGCATTCAAGATGAGTATTCTAACAGAAGGATAGAAGGACATCGCATCGCAAGGCGGCCAGGCTAGCGGCGGTAGCTTTAGACCTGGTGATCCGCGGGTCAGAGAGGCTGGTCATAAGGGAGGTTTGAGTGGTGGGCAGCAGCCGGAGGAGTAATGCCGGTTTACGATGATATGGAATAGCTATTGGATGATATGAAAGCTATTGAATGATGTATGATGTACTATATTATAGTGAATGAGAATGAGATTGAATTATTATACAGACGTGTCTCGTTATTATATTACATAGTTTATTATACAAGCTGCTACGCCGCGCAGCTAAGGATGATGCCTCAACCGCACCCCATTAGCCGTAGTCTCCAACTTGGCCTTAATCCTCTGACTCGTCTTCTCCATCTTACTCAACTCGGGATGCACCTCCGGCGCGTCGACATTCGAGAACAACAACGCAAGCGGACTACTCTTCCAAATAAACTGATTCCGCGTATTCCAAATCGTCGCGATGAAGAACACCAACGTAAACGCCACCAGCGCAATTGGCAGAATCATCCACAGCCAGCGCACGTGGACGTACGATTCGACGGTCCAGGTTGTTCCGTTGGTGGTTGCGGCGCAGACTTTTGAGCGGGCGTGTGTTGTTAGCGAGGAGGCGAGGGAGTCGAACATGGAGGAGATCTCGGTGAGGTTGCCTTGTTGGCCGTAGATGGCGCGCGCGGTTTCGGAGGACCAGTCGGGGCGGTTGCTGACGAAGAGGGAGCCTTTTCCTTTTAATAAGGGGCCGAGGGAGTTGCTCATGGATATTAGACTGAGCCAGCTGATGTTGAAGGTGCAGTTTTCGTTGTCGGAGGGTTGGTGGTATGTGCTTCCGTTGTAGTAGCATGTTTTTGGGGTTAGCGCGATGTTTTGTGTCCCTGAAGCGTAGGTGTAGTTGGAGGATGTGTCTGTGTCGATGAGCTTCTCGCTGAATTTTCCGTTCTTTACTGATGCTTCGTATGACTTGACGCAGAAGGAGATGGCGCATTCTGTTGCGCTGACGCTCGGGGGTATACCGTATCCTGCGGCCGTAATGGCCGTGAAGTTGCTGATTAACGGCCAGCCTGTCGGATCGATCTGGACGAGATTGCGGTCTGCTGTTGCGTTCATGAGATACATCGAGCTATACGACGTGGTAAAGTTCCAGTTGTTCGGGAGTGTGTATTTGTAGTTCTGGACCATGCCGAACCCGGTCTGGTTCAGGTCCAGCGAGTCCGTGATGTTGGCGCACTTGCTGCAGAATCCGAGGGACTGGTACGGGGCGAACGTGCAGTTTCCTGTCGGGCAATCCATGGTGATACTGTTGCTGTTTGGGCTTGAGCTTTCGAAGATACCGGTGTAGATCGCGCCCGTCGTCGAGAGCGGTACCTTGTTCATACCGGGTCCGGAACCCCTGCCCCAGTCATTGTACTCACTAGAGTTGCAGATCTGGATCGACGAATGCTCAGGCGAGTGTACCGATCGCATATCGATAGCGACGACCTGCTGCACGAACGGGGCAATCGCCGAAGCGATGACAATAATAAAACACCCAATAGTAACCAAATGTCTGCCATCATTAGCACAATCCAAATAACCCGGGACAAAACATACCTCGGAATAAATCTAAACAGCACAACAACAGCCCCCACAGCCCCCCGACTAGCCGCATCCAACAAGGCCAAATCACTCAACTTATTCCCCTCATTAAACCACGACCATTTCAGCTGCGACAACGCCTCGGTAATCGGAAACGCCATCGCCGCCTTCATCACCGTCACCAGCACGGAGATCAGCGCGTTCAGCGTAATCCCATACGGCCAGTCCGGCGTACTCTGTCCATCGAAAATATACAACACCACGATAATCCCCGCCAGCGACCCGATCGCAATCACACAGCTGACAATCTCCCACGACCACCCCGCGCCCCAGAACCCGGGCGATAGCTGCGACTGCACATACGCCTGCCCAAACGCGTGCTGCTGCCCCTGCTCGAAGGCGTGCTGCGCATTCGGTGATAACGGCCGGGGCGTGCCGGGGGCGCTGTCGGGTGGATCTTCGACTTTGAGGTAAGTAAGTCGGTGGTTATCTTTTAAACGGTCCATTTTGCTGCCGCTCCCGAACAGAGAATTGAGGTTAGGCATTTTGGGTTGGACGCTGAGTGAAAGGTTTTATATGATGCTGTGCGGTGCAGGTGTATGCGGTGGCACGCCTCACGGCGATTCCAGATGGGGTAAGCAGTGAAACTAGGGCGAGTTCAACGGCTGTAGATTGGATATCTGTTGCCTTATGGGGGATAGTTGTCGGCTTCAAGATTGCCTCTTGGGGGAATGATTGCCCTGATCGACAATGCTAATTTGATTTTCGAGTTTACTTGTTTATGGGACGAGTTATGAGCAATCGGTACTTGTACAGAGTCAAGAACCGGTATAGAGTAGAGATGCTGGCACAGAGGCATTGGCTAGATCCATTAAGCATCTAGTTAGTGCTCACAATTTGAAGGTGTACATGGTATACTTCCGCCTGTACTCCGTACAAACACTTGTACAAGCAAATGATCAACTGTTCAGCCCAAAAATTAGCATCTATATATATCACGGCCACCTGGCAGGCTTCGAGAAATTCCGTGATTAACCCACCAATTGACGCCGAACATGACTCGTTCATGGAGCTTTGTTTTGAAGAGTTTGTTGCATAGCAGCGGTATACGGTAGGCGGTATCACGCGGCAGTAAGATAGGGGTCTACGGCGTTCTCCGGAGCTTATCAGATCTGCGACTAGTACTATGCATCTCTACATACTAAGAATGCTACCTACAGTACGCTATTGGCGAGTCAACTGAGACATGACAGGTAAGCCCTATGCCTACGAAAGGAGTGGGTTTGAACGACGTTTATTGACAGTACCCCTAGTACTCCGTACAGATACCAGGCCTCGACACGAGGTCGCCCACGGACCATACTAGTCGACAACACCTCCCGGAAGCAACGCTACATAATCCAACGGCGCCGGCTCGGTTCCATCCGGTTCCCCAACAATCCTGAGCAAATCCCCGGGCCGGAAATCGACATCGCGAAACGTTACACGAGTGGCGGAATGGCCGTCCAGGTAGATGGACGGGATGTGGCCGAGTTTGGTGTCTCCTGTCCATTGTCCGATTTGGTCGTCGTTGCAGTATACCGTCCACTGTGACTCGCCGCCGTACAGATCGTAATAGTTGATTGCGAGGTTGTACGACCCTGACGGGATGGATAATGTCGCTGTGGCGGTGCCGGTGGTTGAGTTGGACGATGTGATAATGGCAGTGGCGTTGGATGCGGTTTCGAACGGATACACTGGATACGGCTTGTATCCAGACAAAGTCATGCTCTCCGCTTCGATGCGCCATGGATGATTACCGACACGCTGCATCTCGTCCTGGATACCGGAGAGGTTATGGTAAAAGTTGGCGATGGCATCTCGCCAGACGATGGAATGGCCGGCCTGGTAGACTAATCGGGTCAGGACGTCGTCGTACCGCTCCTGGTCGATTTTGTCGCGTAATGCCTCCCACTTATCTACGAATGAATGGGCGGTTTCTGCGCCGCTGTAGTGCGCGTCGTAAAAGTGCTGGATGACCGATTTTCCTGAATGGAGACGGTGCGTGTAGTTGACATGGTGGAACCAGAGCAGGAGATCGTCCGGAGTTGTGTCGATGTCCTCGTACAGCTGAGCCACATCTGCTGGATACTGTCCGGCATATCCGGTCCCATTGCCTACCGTGCGATCCATACCAATACCCTGGCGATCTGCGCGCGTCCACTGTCCCCAGCCGTTGTTATCCTGTGAGGCCGGATTGGGTCCGTAATGGGTGTAGATGATATCCGTCAATGTTTGCTCGCCGAGGTTACCGGTGTAATTCTCATAAGTCGGCCAGGACGCCATTGACATTTCTGTGATTGTATCCAAAACACGCTGGTCAGCACCGAAAGTCAGACGAATCCAATCTTGCAGAATGTCCTCCGAATCAGCCATCGGATCCCAAGCCAGTCGACCATATGCATACAAATTCGACATGGCAAGATGACTCCCAAGCCATGTCGTATTCGTGCCCACGTTAACAACAGCTGTCCATCCCCCAAGAGGCCTATTAAACGTCTTCCCGGAGATCACATCCCTTACAAGCGATACTTTCCCATCAACCTGAAGATCAAAATCCAAAACCGTCTTCCACAGCGGCGGCAGATAAACAAGATGACACTGCTGCCCCAAATACTCCTGCGTAACCTGCAACTCAACTGCCACGTTCGTCCGATTCAAATTAGCAAATAAAGGCGACGCCGGTTCGCGGACTTGAAAATCTATCGGTCCGTATTTTATCTGCACAATGACATTCTCTTCGAACTTTCCGTCCAACGGCTTAAAATAGTCAACCGCCGCATTTGCACGATCGGCTGTCCAGTTCGACTCGTTGAGATTATTGTCGTACACGAATGCGCGGAACATGAGTATTCCACCGTGCGGCTGGAGTGCTCGCGCAAAGACGTTCGCTCCTTCGGCTAGTGTGCGGTTATATGTCAACGGACCGGGTTGGCCTTCTGAACTAGCTTTGACTAGATATCCTGCTAGATCTGGGACGCGCTGGTAGATCTGGTCAGTGGCATTCTCCCACCAAGACACGACAGACGGATTTAATGGGTCGAAGGTGTCAAGGCCACCGAAATCTCTAGGCGAGGCGAAGTTTAACGAAATGCCAATTTGTATGCCATACGGCCGGAAAACGTCTGCAATCCTGCGCAGACCTTCGATATTCCGAGGTTCCAGCAGCGTCACATTGGCATTGACATTATTCACGATAATCCCATTGACCCTGATCGAAGCCAGTAGACGTGCATATTCTCTGGCGCGAGTCAAGTCGTCGACCACAGTTCCGTTGGCGAAGAATATCGATGGCCCCGCGTAACCACGCTCAATGCTCCCGTCCATGTTATCCCACTCGTTAACCCATCGTATCGGTGCGTGGGGACTGCTCGTATAAGCCACCCTGGAGAAATTGCCCTGCGCCAGCAAGGATAGATAATAGAACGCCGCGTAGAGAGCACCGCGTTGATTTTGGCCTAGCAGCTGGACCGTGTCGCCTGTTGTGTTGAGTACGAAGCCATCATCGTCCAGTTCGGGGATGTCATAGGTACTACGGTTGTAGTCTTCGACAGTACTGACGATGATTGATGATGCAGTTGTGCACTCGTCGAAGTTAGAGCTGATTGGGAGGGTCTTGTTGAATATCCGCTGGATACCCTGCTGCAGTTCTTGTCCGGCGACATATACCGGGCTTGTCTGGTCGTTATCGAGAGCCACTATGCTTGACGGTAATCCATCCTGACAGTCTTTATCACAACAAACCGGCGCATAACGAAGCCAACCCTGCGATCCGTTCTCTGCGGCCACGAGGGAACACTGTAGTAGGTATAGTAGAAATATGCGCAACATGGTTTATTTTGCCACAAACTACATCCCGTAGCAGCTCGGCGGTATATATCACATAGCCATAAGTAGTATAAACGTTCATTTATGCTAAATGCGTCTTGGTAGCATGACGCGGGGTTCGGTACTGCAGCATAGATGAGGTTCGTATAATTGCATCGTGAAGACTGCCGAGTCGGAGATGCTCCGTTTAGGCTGCTTTTTTTCTTTTTTTTTTTTTTTTTTAAGAGCTTGGCTTAGTATGGATGGATTCTTCAGGGGATAATGAGCCGTTAATGGTAGATGAGAGCAAGAAACAAGCGAGAAGTATACAAAAGTAGAAAGCATGGATTTGATTGGCCCAATATATACACTGCATTATCTGATTATTCATCCTGTGCACAAATGCATAACCAGTTAATTTACTTCCACCTCGGCATGAATTTATCCAGAACAACATTTACATAAATAGCAGAATGACATTGACTGCAAATGCGGGTATCAAGAAATCATTCCGTGCGCGAGCAGTACGCTTCTCACCCCAATCGAATACCCATGCTGACCCTGTAGTGCGAGAATTGCCGGCTGCGAAAGGTACGGATCGCGTTCATTAAGCCGATGTTCGTTTGTTGATTCTCCTAGATCCGATGTGACAAGGAGTCACCATGTTCCAGCTGTAGTACGCTGGATATAGCATGTAGCTCCGCTGGATCCTCGAGCGCGTCTCGAGACCGGCCAGCCCAGCCTCAGCCTCGAGCAGCTTTGAACCAGTAGTACGTGACCCAAAATCATCACGAACATCAAGCTAATGGCCAAAGCGAGCACAAAATCGACCTGATCCAAGAACAATTATCTGCATTACAACGCACAGTCCATGATCTAACCCGGCCGTCTGTTCCGGCTGCAGCTCCGAATCCACCGTCATATCAAGTCTCCTCGACGCCGGCGTTCGAGGGGCAATCGTCTTTTAACAGTGAAACGCGTCTTGCAAGAGATGTTGCGTATTCGGCTGTTGCAGGGCTGCACAGCGATAGACCGAATGAGGATGTTTCTGCTGCTCTGGCGTCGCTGAAACATAGCTTGGATAAACATAATCCAGCGCAGCCACAGGCGGAGAGACAGGTTACTGATTCTGTGCAGTTGGGGGAGCAGTTATTACCGGTTGCGTTCGTCGTTGCTGTTGTTAAGAAGATTAAAAGTTTGTAATCTGCATCTATGCGTCTATGAAGAAGGTAATGCTGATCTGCCAGCACAACCACCATTCTGCCTCGTCAGTCATTCGTGGCGAGATTACCTGCAAATCGAATCCCTCTGCCAGTCGATTTACTTCCCCTCTGCTCCGGTCCCGGCTGGTTCGCTTACACTCTTGCATGGACTGCTCTACTTTGTCATTCGTGATTATCTGCACGAAGATGACCCCGATCTTGCCAAGTTCGATGCCTCGACGTATTGCAAGTTCTGCGAGGATCGCTTTTCCGCTGGTCTCAAGAGTTATGAGATGATGATGGACCCAACACTTGAGAAGATTCAAGCTCTTCTTCTTGGGGTATGTCACCACCCATCTTGACTGGCGTTGCTAACAGGTGTAGGTAATACAAGCACAAGAAGAATCCAATATCCAGCTTTGCTGGACATATCTCGCATTGGCGTTCAACATGTGTCAGACTATGGGATTGCATAGACGGGGTACTCTCCAGCACGAGTCCTTGGCTCTGGCTGAAGTGAAACGTCATGCGTTCTGGTCGTTGTATACCGTTGATAAGCATATATCTCTCAACTTAGGGGTTACGTCGCATTTTCAAGATCATGATATTGATGCGGATTTATTTACGCCATCGGATAAACCGCAGCAGCTTCCGTGGGATGTGATGACTCTTGTTACCGTCGAGTTTTCGAGACTCCAAGGACAGGTTTATGACCGGTTATATTCTACATCTGCTTCGAATGCGAATGTAACCGAAAGGTCTGAGACCATCGAGAAGCTATCTAGTGACTTAATGGCAGTACGGGATAAGCTACTGGCAGTATGTATCCTATACAAACTCCCGAAGTCCAATCTAACACCAGCAGATCGATGTAAGCCAAGGCCTCTACGCCGACTCGCTTCACGGAATGGCCGCGTGTGCCGATTTTATCACTTATTCTATCCAAACCATAATCCACCGCGCTCAGACCCGTCCTAGCAATGCAATGGCTATATCAACCAAATGCTTCGACGCGGCTACGCTGGCGTTACAAAGCCACCTCAAATGTTTTGCGTATTTCCGGGACCGAAAGATCCATAAACAAGCCGAATATGTCAACTGGTTAGGACTGACCCAGTCATGATCTCAAACGCAACTGCTAAGATTATAGGATCCTTCTCTATCCTTCCTTTACACCGTTTGTCATCGTCTTCACCCACGCCATAACAACCGCCTCCCCAACCTCCCTCACCCTCCTCCACGAAACGGTAACATCCCTAGATCTAATCAAAACCCTCTCCCGCGGCTCCCTCCACCTCTACGAAATCTGCACCGCCTTCGTCAAAACTGCCCGGGCCCTCCTCGACTCCTGCCAAACCCTCACCGGCCTGGAACAGCATCATGATGGATTATTGCTTGCGCAGGCGGATGCTGGGATTAATATCTCGTTGCCGGATGTTACTGGGACGGTGGAAGGGGGTATGGATGGTGGGTGGATGAACAGTGCGGATATTGAGATGTTTTTGAATGATTTTATTGGGTCAAATCGGTCTGCTATGGATATTTTGGGGTCGAGTTATATGAGTTAGCACGTTTCTTTTTTTAAAAAAAAAACATGCCGATCGTAATCGTACAAGCCATCCATAACTCAGATCTAGCATAAAGCTAATCATACCAAATCGCATTTGCACAACACCCATTCCCCGCTAACTCCAACGTATCAACAACCCCAGCACCAACTCCATCAAACCCCCAAATCTGCACAAACCCTCTCTCGTTATCTGTAAGCGCCACAAACTCATCACTAAATGCACTTGGGCTCACTGCATTAGCCATACCACCCGACGACGACGTGGGGGTTAGGAAAAGCTGAGACTGGATCTCGCCGGATGGCGAGAGAGTGAACGCAGTTATGTAGCCTGGGGAGTCGGGGATGCGGGATCGGGATGACGCCCAGAGGTAGGAGGTTGAGTGGGAAAGGGATACTTCGTCGGACCAGTAGGCGGTGGTGTTGTGGTCTGTGTTGGTGAATATTAGTGAGTGTATGGACATTGCGGTTTTCAAAGTGGTACATACCCGGGGGTATCAACGGGTATGAAATATTCGCATATGCCAGCCCTCCGTCAGAATCAATGCTATACACAGCTAATCTGTTAGTCCCCTCAAACACCACATATGCAAAACCTCCTCCAGGATGAACAACAATATGTCTAGGATCCGCCCCAGAAACCGGCGCAGCAAGACGATCCACAAGATGCACTTCACCCGTCCGAGAATCAACCCGATGAGTCCACACCGCATTTCCTGTATCATCGGCGGAATAGAGCATCTCACCACCGGGTGCGAGTGCGAGTCCGTGAACACCAGAGCCAGAACCGTAGTCGAATGCTTGTACTGTATCAGAAAGTGTACCGTTTTCGTGCACGGAGAAGACGTTCCCGCATGAGACATCGCCTCCGAAGGAAGAGCCGTATACTCTGTGAGGTGGATGAGGGGAGGTTGTCAGGAAGATGGACTGCGAGCCGGGGCCTGTTCTGTCAGCATACAATGATTAGACTGGAATTGGGGTGACATACAAGATCCAGTCAGAGGCAGTGACCGAGTATGAACAATGCTCATATTATTCATGATCTTATAGCTTGACCATTTTGACACAGAGGTTGTGTATATGTTCTTTTTCTCGTGCTGTTACAGTAATGTCAGCATACAATACCGCATGTATAGAAGAGAAGACGAACGTCAAAATCAATCCAAAAGTGCGCATCCGACGTGGGAAAGCTCTGAACAAGCGACAGGCTCAATGCCTCATCATCAAACGCAACATTGTAGATTGCAGAAGCGTTAAAGGATCCGACATAGAGGTGGTGTAGCTTCGCAGCGGCGTTGCTACCAAGACAGAGCAGAGAGAATGCAGTCGCTAGTCGCATTGTGCTGTATATGTTGAGGAGCTGGAAAATAGTAGCTGGGGAGTCTATATGATGCATCGCAGAAGCCGACAAGCTAAATGCACTATATACTCCCGAGAATGGATACCGAAGTGCGGGTTAAGAGTTTACGGTACTACCCCGAGTACGTACCGACAGACCAACCTCACCAATCACGACACAACTTAGTTACCAACTAGTTAGTTAACTACAGTTGATTCAGCTTCCTCACGTAAGCGGAACTTCTCTGACAGAACTCCTCCGCTGACAAAATCGAATCCACCCCTAAACTTAACTAACCTTCAAAGATCCTTCAGAGGTAGCCATATGATAGATTATCGTTTACGGTACATCACCCCTTTTTGAGTAATTTAAGATTCCTCCTCCCTCGTGCAGTCCAGCACACTACCTCGCCCAAAAATGCGGCCCCAAAGTCGCCGGCACAGTACGACTTCATCAAAAACTGGACCGGCATCCTCACCCCCGAGTCCACTGATGGACCGTGCTTTTACCCGCGCAGCCAGCCCGGTGTGCCGCTGAGTTTGGAAATTGGGGTGATATCTTTGAGCCGGTGCGGGATGTGTTGGTTGATATCTAGCATTGTAATGTGACGGGGTCGTGTAGTTCGTTTACGGGGTTGTTGCCCAGTGATCCCTTTGAGGTGTACGCCCAGATAGAAGCATAAACAAAATCGCATTGTCACATTATCTTTCCTACATCCTGAGCTTTTCCAACTTCTCGGTGCTCAAATAACATACTAGAAGAGTCAGCACGGTCATATTTCATTCTAGATGAGTTTGCAGATTGCCAATGAGTATACAAATCACGATGTAATAAAACATGGACTTAACAGCATTTTTCTAAGTTAAAGCTAAGCATGTTTATCGTGATCTCACAAGCCATGCATAGTGCAGCAGCCTACTATAACTCAACCCATCCAAAGCTAGTAGTGTTGTGGTCTGGTGCATACGGTCCAGACAGAATTTCCGTGTCATCGGCAAGATAGAGCGTCTCACCACCCGGTGCGAGTGCAAGTCTATGAGTTCCAGAGCCAGAACCGTAGTCAAATGGTTGGATTATATCGGGAAGTGTATCGTTCTCATGCTGATATTCAAAGGCAACATTGTAGATTGCAGAAGCGTTGAAAGATCCGACATAGAGATGGTGTAGCTTCGCAGCGGCGTTGCTACCAAGGCACAGGAGATAGAATGCTGTTTTCAACGCATGAATGATTGTGTATTAATCGGGTTTAGGGGCGCCATTGTCCAGGGTCTGGAAGATTGAACTACATATCAAATAGATGTGACGGTGTATTCGGGATATTCGGACTATCGGCATTTTCGGTCTGCCGCGAATGGTAACCGAATTCTAGCAGCTGTGCGGATAAAATGGAGCCACAATAATATGAGCATAAGTAAACAGACATCTGACATATTCCGTGAAGAAGCTCTGGGTTATCCGAAGTATACCGACAGCTAGATCACTCTCACCAATCATAGTACGTCCATTACTCGCTCTATAGATGATCGACGCTCTTCTATCCATCCTCAGATCTAGTATTTCAGCCAAGAATGAGATACACGTCGGCAAACTGCTATATCTGATCCACTTGACGAATTTATAATGCTGAATCATGAAAGGGCGGAATTGCGCCGCTGGCAAGAAGTGCCCTGTTGATGCCGATGTAGTGCTGTCTAACATAAATAGGGTCATGCCAGCATTGACAACAAACCAGGACTACAGCTCGAACAATAACAATGGTCGCCAAATCCCTCTTCCTGTCTCTGCTCGGCTTGGGCGCTTTTGTCTCTGGTACAGCATACCCCAATAAATCAGATTCAAACTTGAGCTGACGAAAAAGCCCACACACCACCCTCCGACCCAGCATCCATTCAAGCCCATCAGCACCTCGCTCAAAAATGCGGCCCAAAGGTCAATCAAATGAAGCGCGCCCACGCCCTCCGCCGCCGTGGCTCCATCGACCCCGGCACCACCGAAACAGACTACACCATCCACGCGCAAGCCCCCAAGTACGACTTCATCCGCAACTGGACCAGCATTCTCACGCCTGAAACCAGTAACGGGCCGTACTTCTATCCGCGCAGTCAAACCCTCAGACAAGATATCAGGGAAGATCAGTCCGGTGTTCCGCTGAGTTTGGAGATCGGGGTTGTTGATGTTGATACCTGTGAGCCGGTGCAGGATGTCTTGGTTGATGTCTGGCATTGTAATGCGACGGGGTCGTATAGCTCGTTTACGGGATTGTCGCCCAATGATCCTTTTGAGGAGGTGTACGCCCAGCAGGACAAGGGAAAACCGTTTGATCTTCACGACGGACTTCCTGATCTTTCCGTATGTAACCACCATCCTTGAATAGATTGTGTGCTAATTGATAGTTCCTCGCAACGGATAATTCAACCTGGCTTCGGGGCATGTGGCCAACAGACAAACACGGTGTTACCTCGTTCACGACCATCTTCCCTGGTTTCTATGTACGCCTTCCTCCCAACCAGCTAGCTCACTTCTAATATACCAGATCCAACGCGCAATCCACATCCACGCCCAAGTCCACACAAACTGGACCATCCGCTCAAACGGTACCCTCGTCCATGGGCCCATCGTGAGCACAGGTCAGATCTTCATCGACGAGAAACTCGAGCAGGAGATCATGGCCCTGGAGCCATACGCGAGTCATACGGAGATTGAACGGGTCAAGAATCTCGATGATGGGATTTATGCGACTGAGTCGAACAGTATGTTACCTTGTTTGATTGAGGTTGGGATGCAATGGCTAATTGGTTTGTGCAGCCGGGGCAATGACCATTCTTGATACCGAGCCGTTGGATGGCGTTGATTATAAGAATGGGGTTGTTGGATACATCACTCTGGTATGTATACTTGATTTTGTGTTTTGCTTTTATGTTGTGTTCAAAGCCAACGTCTCTCTAGGGAATTCAACGAACGCATATCAGGAACGGGACTACTATTGACGCTTGTAAGTGATTTGATGCGTTCGAATATGTTCCCTCGACGCTAACATCCGATAGTGCCGAGTCCGAGTCCCACTCCTAGTTCCTGAGCGGACAGCGCGAAGTAGTAGCTGTGGGCTGTTGTGAAATATCCGCTGATTCCAGTTTATTTAATTCAGCGACTTTCAGCAAGGATAGAGAAGAGTGTATGTCCAAGTTCGTATACATAATAGAGATCAAAGCGATAGAGCAGCAGATAGAGTTATAGACGCAATTGGATTCTTGACTTTTTCTGTCTTGAGCTTGCCCCATCAGTGCTCAAATAACATACTACAATCATTAGCACTCATTCCCAATCAGTATAGAAAACAACTCACCGGAATGAAAAGATACGGCACTCTCCTCTCATACTCCATCCAAGCCTCCCCATATCTCTCCCGACACCGGTGAATATCCCTCCTCGCACGATGAACAATCATCACCGCAAAAAAGACCGAATAAAACCATGGGAACGGCGAGTTGAAACCTGTGATCAGACCCCAGGAGGTGGCGAAGAAGAGGTCGCATGTATAGTGGACTTTGCGGGCCAAGCCATCTACGAGAGTCAGCATCATTGAAGTTAGATGGAACAGGAGGGGAGGGGACGTACACCATCCACTGCACAAGATCGAATCACCAGTCTTCGTCCGAATGACATCCGGCTTTTTGACGTATTTCCACGGAAGCTGGGGAAATGTCTTTCTGTCGACTGGGATGCCGCGCTCTTGGGCTCTGAAGAAGTTCTTCTGGCTGTTTCCTGTGTCCCAGACCCAATATGCGAACAGATACGCAGCAAACAGTGCACATAGTGCCAATCTGTTCCATCTATAGGTGTCCGGATGATGCGTAGCCAGGTACAGTGTGCAATGGCAGTAACTCATCGGTACACCGGCGAGGTTCCAGAAGATGAGCATGAAGCCCCATTTCTCGTAATACATGTCCCTGCACCTGTTAACTCTCTATCAGCACAGCAAACGAGGGCGGGTCACTCACCAGCTAGTAATAATCAACTCCTCCCCCTTAGCACAGGCATTCGCATACAAAAAGTGCGCCATGAGCACAAACCCAACCTCCCCAGAGACATACCCCAGCTCCTCGAACTGCTTTAGCGCCGTCCCCAGCGAAAGAAGAAACAGTATGTACCACGGGATGCGCACTTCAAAGAACATCTTGAAATCCAACCATCCAAGTAGCCGGGGGTTAAGCTCCGCACCCATGAAGAAGTCGTATACATGGGAGCCTGTCATGCGATGTTCCGCGCCGCGGGCTAGAGCTGATATGTATGCGAGAATGGAGACGATAAATCCCGAGAGAATAGCGACAGACATGAATGAGCCAAACTCGTCAATAAGAGTGTACAGCTTAAATACACCCGAGAAATGCAACGCCAAAGCCGCGGCGATGGTCATGTACCACGAGGACACGGCGGAGCAGTAGTAATCGAGCTGTTTGCCGTCTAGATGCGGGAGACGCTTTCCTTTTCCGTAGACACCGGGGAGATAGAGATAGCCGATACCCTCGAGGATGAGGAAGGTCCAGTATATAGCCCATGCTTTCTTGGTGGGATAGGCGTGCGTGTACGCTAGGTCGACGAGGCGGGTTATAAAGTGAGAAATCGATTCATCGGAGGTAGGGAGAGGGGGTTGGCCGTCGTATAGCATTGCTCCGATGTACATGTAGTACATTAGCAGGGGGAATCCGAGCATCAGGGCAGTGACCCCGAGAGGGCCGCCGAATTCCATTTCTGGGCGTCTGTGAGTGTTAGCGTAGCCGTGTGCCAATTGAGCTTGGTACATACTTGTTGACCATCTTAATGGGTTTATCTGGGGCCATTTTAATGATTGTGTTTGTTCTGAAGGGACAAGAAGTTGTTTTATACTTGTAGTCTTCTGTTGCGTGCGTAGCGGAGTCCGCGCTGACCACGCATGCCGTGGGCTCCGCGGTCTCCGAGGGAAGCTCGGAAAGCGTGCACATTATGCAAATTACCATTTTTGTCGTTTAATTCTCAGGGATGGATTATCGAAGCATTTCTTAATATGCTGTGGTTGGTTGAAACAGCCTCATGAGGTGCAAAGTGTCCGTGTAATGCGAACCCTACCAGAACTATACCACGGAGATCTTGCTCCGAACGAAGCCAAGAGCATATCCTAGCAAGAAGATGTTATTATGATGTAGCTCTTAAGCACGCTCAACAGCCTGATCTGATTACTGGACACTGGCAACATGTCCAGGACGAGACTACTGTAATGGACGCCGGCGCCCCCTTCCAGCAGGTAGTCCTCTTTCTCGCCTCCATTTCCCACCACCGGGACCTTATCTCATCACGCATTCGTCGCGGCATCTTGCCAGCTGCATTCGGCTGCTCCATCAAGTCATGGAAACTATCACCGGCAGCACCCCGCAACACCCGAAGCATCTCATCCTGCGCTCTTATCCGACCCGCCATCGTCACATTGTCAATCTTCTTATCTCGGGTGTCTCTCAGCCGGAGGGTTCCTCGCATTACTTCATGCAGTGGTGTGTTTCCATGGGCATTCCTGGCGTTGACATCCGCGCCGCGACTGAGTAGAAATTGCCCCGTGTTGACCTGCCGCAGATTTCGCGCCATGATGTGCAGAGCGGTGTTGCCATCTTTGTCGATGGTGGTTATATTGGCACCGTGCGATATCAGGAGGTTGAGCAGAGCGGTGTTGATAGGCTCACCGTCCACGGATCGGAGAGCTAATACGTGCAGCACGGTTTGGCCATGACTGTCTTGAAGACTGGGATCTGCGCTGTTCTCACATAGAAATCTGATGGCGTCACCAGAATGCCGGATGCCACATCCAGCATGGCTTCCCACTGTGTAGTGCAAGGCTGTCACCTCATGGTTGTCCTGGACGTTTATGGTGTCAGAATCGCCGGACAGGAGCAGCTTGAATGTACCAATGATCCGGGGGACAACATCGTCTTCGGGGAGTAGGTATTCATCACATAGACCGGGTCCTGCAGTCTCTCAGTGGAGTGGAAGCCGTCCGGTGCTATCGCGAGTGACCCGGTCTACGATGTCATCTAGACGGTCGAGTGGCGCTTGTATTCCCTGTGTATTCCAATAGAAGCTGGCGATATGGAGCGCGGTCACCTGGGCCGAAATCTCTCAATTCGCACCCCCGTGGCCATTGCAGATATACCGCTCCATTTGATGTACATCAGCCCTTTCATCCAAGAAGCGCTTCACCAATCTGTAACTACCCCCGGAGACGGCCCGCCCGAGAACGGTGTGGAGCGGCTGTGGAATTCACTGTATGGCATTTTGTTCTCTTGTTAGTTTGATCTTGCATTCTTTGCCGGCGAATTTGATACAGTGAGAAATGTGTAGATCTGTGCCATTTGCTGTAGATTGGCTTTGTATGTTTAGTCGCGTGTATGACTCTGCTGGCCGGGTCTAGGCCTCGGACGTGCATATTTGTACTTCATAGTAAATCCTATAGAGAAGTCTAATTTCTAGGGGTTGTCAAACTGTAAGTTCATGTTTTCGTCGTCGACTTCGTGAGACGTAGATGCCTGGGCATGTGCATGGGCATTAAGATGAATCTGGTGCGAGATATATATCCGACATGCTATCGGATTTATGTGACATTGACGTGCAGTTGCATGCGAATTCTACAATTAAATTGAACAACCGGTATTTCACCGACTATCAAGCGATATATTATTGAATCCAGCATAATATCTATATTTATCTACAGCTAGTCACACATCTATACATAACCCCCCCCGCCCCCCGTTGCAGACAGGCAATTACGCCTCCTTCGCAGCCTCATAATCCACATAACAAAGCTTATTATCCTCAAACGGCCCATAAAACCTCGTCCTCTCATACGGCGTCAACGCAATCCCCTTGCGCAACCGCTGCACCAAATCCGGGTTACTAGTGAACGGCCGGCCGAACAAAATCGCATCGTAGCGGCCGGACTCCAGCACGCCCCAGGCGTTCTGGTCGTTGTAGCCGCCGGCTGTGAAGAAGGGCGTGGAGCCGAAGATTCCGCGGAAGCCGTCGAGGTTGACGTCGGTGAGGCCCCAGGAGGCGAGGAAGGTGTCTTTCTCTTCGGTGCTGAAGATTTGTTCGTAGCGCTGTCTTTGTTAGCAGGTTTCCAAATTGGTTTGGTGGGGATTGGGGCGCACCGGCTCGATAAAGCTGACGTAGGAAAGGTGAGGAAGAGCCTGCTTCAACGACCGGCAGAGATGCGACCAAGTTTCCAAACGCTGCTCGCCACGGGTCTGATTGAAGAGCCCAAACGGCGACAACCGGATGGACAACTTCTCCTCACCAATGGACTTGGCCAGCGAGTCCATGAGCTCGAGCGTAAACCGACACCGCTTCTCAGGTGTACCGCCATACTCGTCCGTCCGCTTATTGATGTTCGAACTCAAAAACTGCTCCGGCAGATATCCGTTTCCGCCGTGTACCTCGACACCATCGAAGCCGATGTCGATAGCCGCGCGCGCTGCGCGCCGGTAATCGTCAATCGTGCGCTGGATGTGCTCGGCCGACAGCTCGATGGGCGGATGGTCGGCGTAGCGCGGGGGCACGGACTCCCCGACCGGCGGGTGCGAGTAGCGCTCGTCCGGCGAGTCCCATGGAATAGCGGAGGGGGCGACGGGGTCGGTGCCCGTCATCTGGGGGACAGTGACACGGCCGGCGTGCCAGAGCTGGGCATAGATATAGCCGCCTTTTTCGTGGACGGCGTCAACGACGCGCTTCCAGCCGGCGATCTGCTCAGGGGTGAACAGGCCGGGGACGCCGGGCATGCCATTGCTCTACAGGGCAGAACTAGGGATTAGATTCCGAGCTATCGGGAAATAATGAGTAATAAGCAATACGCACCTCGAGCGATGGCGGGATTCCTTCGGAGATGATCAGTCCTCCCTTAGTGGCGCGCTGGCGGTAGTACTCGACCATCAAATCGCCGGGGTACCAGATACGGTTTGGGTTCTCGGGAGTGCTGTTCTCATTCTGAGGGACACCCCGGTTCCGGGTCATTGGGGCATGAATAACGCGGTGGTCGAGGGTGAGGTTGCCATTGTTGATGACGAGGGGTTCGAAGAGCTTGGAACTCTGGTTCTTGTGGGTAGCCATGTTGTTGCTAATATATTGACACTATTAAGGCAGAAGGATCGAGCAAAGTCAAAGTAAGTGGTGAATGGAGCCAAAGGTCCAATGAAGTGGGCAGACATCTTGGAGGTCATATATCATGAAATGACGACCCCCTCCTCCCCCCGCCAATCAAGCATTCTGGACAACTGTCATGTCACCGCCAGTAACCCCTATTCAGCAATCGTCACTGAGGCTCGTTCTGAGACGCCGTTAGTGCCCACTTGCGGTGTACAACATTGATAATTATACGGAGTACGGTGGTCTGCCCTCAGAGCACTCTGCAATCCGTACTGTCTGTACGGAGTACGAGATACGCATACAGAGTACACTGCCCAAACTCAAACAGTATTTTGGAGTAACCGTTTGCTTCCCGCCGTGGAGACTCCGCTGTCGCTGTCTCTGGGAGTACCATAGAAAAGCCGAGCTTGGCGAGTCAGAATCTTTTACTCAGCCGGTGCTATAACAGGAAACCCCACACACCCACCGCCCCATACTAGCATGCGAGGACCTAATGCACGGCTCAATCCAATCGCGATGCAGTGTTCATCAGAGGCGAATTTGATTGGCGCTAAGGGGGACCGCGGGGACTCGGAAGTAAAGTTTAACTGTGCAGAAATTGTTACAGGGCCGAAAGGGAAATGGCCGGAAAACCCCTGACACGGAATAGCGAGTCTGCTCGGAGATGGTACGGATATGGACTAGGCGCTTGGCCATATCCGGGTGACTTGGGCTTTGAGTTGGAAGAGGAATTGGAGTGGAAATGAAGTGGAATGGCAGCACGCCGTCCCGGGACTGACTGAACCTTGGAACCAGAGACTGTATCCCCGGGCCTGAGCAAAAGCAACGAGTACATACTCCTTAACAATGGAGTCGACATATCGTATTCCCATTTGCCATGGACAGGAGGGGATTAAGGTTATCCAGAAAATGGGTAAAATGCGGCGACAGGGAATGCATTCCTTCAGGATTTGGAATGAGATATCACGTGCGATCATATGATCCTTTGTCTGGATTGTATGCATGTCTATTGATCCCGAACAGTTCACTCAATTCTTAGACATGTCGTCTGCACGGTCGATCTCAAGTGTTTAAATGGTCTAAGCTACGAGCGGCGCATGGCTCGCAGCGACTCGTCATATTTGAAATAGATCCTTGTCGCTCTAGTATCCACGAGTGAACCACCATCATGGATCGAATCTGATCGTATCGTAAAAAATAACCAGGAGAACCGGTTCAAGGGTCAGTCCAAGCGTGTTAGTTCAAAGGGGTGCGAGCACGCTAATGCTAGCAATAGTAATAAGAAAAAGAATGCCCCGCATTGAATCCTTCGAAGAATCGCTCAGGGGCTTCTCTATGCCTACGGAGTATACAGATAATGTCCGAGCAGGCAAATCATGAAAACGTTAAAAAAACATCATCGATCAACACGGTTGGAAACGGGCAATATTCAATATCTTGTGTACTATGCTGGACAGGCTTTCAATTATTTGACTGGCCGGGAAAAACTCGGTGCCAGAGACCGCGGCCCGAGAGTTGATTAAGCGACATTTGAAAGGTACTTTAGTCCGTATCTTGCCTAGAATTCTTGACGGCTCATGGTGCCGATCTGTATTCCAAGTGAGGCATCGACATTGTTGGCCGTTGCCTGCTCGGAGCTTGCGAAAGACTCGCCACAGAGATTCAACTGATACATACGCTGTATACATACCAAATGTAGTAGAAAATAAGTCCGGCATTTGACATCCGCAAAATTGACTTCCATAATTGACTTTCAAGGGCTGAGATTGAATTCCGGATGAGATACTCCCCCGTAAATAGCCTGTGTCCAGTGAAAAAGAATCGAAAATGTATATCATTAGTCTAGTTAGTGCACAGGCGCCCATCGATTCATCATCATCGTACGACTGGCGAAACAAAGGCCATTGTGCATCTATTGACCCGCCGTTGATCAAATTTTCCGGCCAGACTATTACAGGATACAGACCCGATGTGGACCGATTGCCATTCGCACCAGCACAAAGTAATCTCGCGAATACGTAACTCTAATTACGGGAGGAGAGAAAAATTTTCGAGTTTTGCCTGACATTTGACAGCGAAAATCACCATTGTAACAGCTGGATGTCATTCCCTAACGTTTGGTTACGACTCCATGCAACCCCGGTACAGAGCACCTACTCCAGACTGCTGAAACGAGTCATTTCGACATAACCTGAAACAGCCGCTCTTGGAACCCTTGTCAGTGCCGATCCATTTCCTTATAGACCATCTTGCACGCCCCGGAGATGAGAAATCCTCGTTTCTTTTTCTGTTATGTATACGAGCAATATTCCCCTAGTGGTCCGCGCCACTACTCTGTCCCGGTTTATGTAGCGGTTCCCCTCCGGAAAAAGAAATTATATAGTGTATGCGTGAACGACGGGGCCAGGTTCAATGATCGTCTTCAAGGGTCAAGGCAAAAGTCTGATATGTATTAATACGGAAAATGATAAAAGAATAATTATCCTGCCTTTTTCTATTATAATATATTGGCGTTATCCCCATCCCCGGGTTTCTGATTCTCCTCTTTCTGACATTTAATCCACCCGCACCGGAGTCTTGCCTGGTTGCAACTCTCCTGCCATTCTCTCGTTTTCCGATTAATGTCCATGCCTATGCATACTTCTACTTCTATTATCATAATTTCTATTTCCTATTATCAGCATGACACAATTCTCCGTTGAGAAACCGACCGACGACATCAACACGATCACATTTGTCACGCAGTACTTATGTATCCCTATTGTCTCCTTCTTCGTGTTGATGCGGTTCGGCATCCGGACATGGTACAAGCAGCCGTTCACCGTTGAAGATGGTAAGCTCACTGCCTAGTGATGTAAAAAAGCATGCTGACTCTCTAGGTGCCTGTTACGCCGCATGGGTATTGTTCATGGCCTATTGTGCCATTGCCATCGTCAGTACGTTTTCCCAACCCCTTCTCTAACCATCCCAATACTAACCCGCGCAGTGGCCCAAAACGGCGCTGGATACCACACCACCGAAATCACCGAGGGGCAAGCCGTTCAATTCCTCAAATGGGGCTACATAGCCACCGTCATCTACTGTCCTATGGCCCTAATCGTCAAAATCGCCCTCCTCGCCATCCTCATCCGCATCTTCGGCCCCTACAAAACAAAAGTCACCCTCATCTACGTCTTCCTTGGCGCCCTCTGCATCTACTACATCATTGCCGAAGTCATCAAGATCCGTATGTGCGATCCCGTCCCGGCATACTGGCTAGGCCAAACCGGCCCGGGAGTGAAATGCTTCGACCAAGCGGCCGCCCTCATCGCAGACTCGGTGATCAGTGTCGTTAGCGATTTAATCATCCTCATCGTCCCGCTGCCCCTGACCTGGTCGCTGCAAATGTCGCGCAACAAGAAGCTGCGTGTCATGGGCATGTTGTCCGCAGGAGGACTAGCCACAGCATTCAGTATCTACCGTCTCGTCCTCGTCGTAAAGGACGGCCAATCCCCCGACCAAACCATCGTCTTCACCTGTGTCGTGCTCTCCGGAAACGCCGAAGGCGGCGTCGGACTCATCTGCGCGTGCTTACCAGCCATGAATATCGTCATCGCCAAGATCCGCAAGTACGGCAGCTCGCAGAACCGCTCGTACGGACACCAGGACTCGAGCATCCCGCTGAGCAAAATGCGCCTCGGCGGGAGCAAGGGCCAGTCCAAGGTGTCGAAGAATGATCCCGAAGGCACCCTGACTGACTACGGGAATGACCAGAGTCATCTTATTTCGTATGCAGGGTCTGCGCAGGGTGGCAGCGGCATTCATAAGACGATTGATGTGTCGCAGACGGTGGAGATGTTGGATGAGCGGGATGAGAGGAATTTGTCGAGTCATAGTCAGAGTCCATAGCGTGTCATTCTTTAGTTTCTGTGTTAATATATCCTTTTCCGATACATTCCACATTTCGTACATTGTGGACTACACGAGCTTTGATGGTGGAGGCAGTGGAGATAATATATCATTTATCCAAGCGTAGTTAGGTCAATGCTGTGTGTCATCCAAAGGCAGTGATTTGTAACTATGCAATTGTAACTATACTCGATTGTATATTGACGCAGTTGTATAGTTGTAATTGTAGTTGTATGTAGACTTGCCGAGGTTCGGCAATTCCATCCCCGCATACATCATAACAGATAAAAGCGACAGCAACCATCACAATTCACACATCAACAGAGCATACGAGCAAGACACTACAATGGTACCACCATCGAGCAACCACTTCATCCTCTCCTTCCCCAAACCCCACATCCTCCTCGTCACCATCAACCGCCCCAAACAACGCAACTCCATCCCCTCCGACGCCCACTGGGACGCCCACACCATCTTCTCCTGGTTCGACAACGAGCCCTCCCTCCTCGTCGCCATCATCACCGGCGCCGGCGACAAAGCCTTCTGCGCAGGCCAAGACCTCACCGAACAGAGCCAAAATGCGACCGCAGCGACCGAAAAGGGAGGAGCACAAACACAACTGCATCACCCGCCTACAGGCTTCCTCGGGCTGAGCCAAAGAAAGGGGAAGAAGCCGGTCCTCGCAGCTGTGAATGGATTTGCATTGGGTGGCGGGTTTGAAACATGCTTAAACTGGTATTTTCTTTTTTTTTTTTTTTTTATATAAAACACTCGTTCTTGTTTCTTTGTTTAAAACTACCGCTAACCATAACAGTGATATGATAGTAGCATCCCCTACGGCAACCTTCGGCCTCCCTGAAATCACCGTGGGCCTATACGCCGCAGCTGGCGGCCTCGCCCGTCTCGCGCACATCACCGGCCTTCCGCTCGCTTCGGAACTAGCACTAACCGCCCGCCGACTATCAGCCCAAGAAGCCCTTGATTATAGACTGATCAACCGGATCTCGGCAAACCCCGTGGAGGAATGCGTGAAGCTAGCGGAGGCGATGGGGAAGTTCTCGCCGGACGCGATTATCGTAACTCGGCAGGGACTCAGGGAGGCTTGGGAGACGGGGAGTGTGGAGGAGGCGACTAGGCGGACGAAGCAGGAGTATGGGGAGAAGTTGTTTAGGGGGGAGAATTTTAGGATTGGGGTGCAGGCTTTTGCGAAGAAGGAAGTGCCGAGGTGGGTGGCTTCGAAGTTGTGATTGTACATACTGTAGTTTGTACAGCTTGTCTCGGGCCGAGGCACTTCTCCGCATCATACACATATCCAGCATAGTTTAATGTCAATATCCATATTCCCCGGACTTCATACAACCTCACGGATACACGAAAATGCCAACCCCTATTATAATCGGCGTAGCAAATATCAAAAACCGCACCGCCAATGCCAAAGAGCCGGCCCAGTTGATGCTCGAGGCCATCCGCGATGCCATCCGCGATGCCATCCACGACGCGGGCCCTTCGGCAAAAGTCCTAACATCCAGCATTGACAGCCTCTCTGCCGTCCGCACCTGGACCTGGCCATACGATGATCTGCCCACCCTGCTCGCTAAGCGACTCGGGGTCCAGCCAAAGCACACGCATTATCCGGATTATCACGGGGGTAATCAACCCGCCAAATTACTCGACGAGGCCGCGCTCCGGATTGTAACTGGAAGGAGTAGGGTTGCTGTTATCACCGGCGGGGAGGCACTGGAGTCGCGTGAGTATCAATCTCGTCAATTGAGACCGGACAAAGCTGACCCCCCCCCCCGCCAGTGAGCACATGCATGAAAAATAAGTCGCCCCCGAAATGGACACCCCCCTCGCAGGCCGTGGACAGCATCTTCTCCCCGACAACAGCACGCGTGACTGAAGATAACATCGGTACTCGCCATTCCGTCGGCGCCCCGATTCACGTCTATCCGTTGTATGAGAATGGATTCCGGGCGTACCGGGGGCAGTCGATCGCGGATAACCATGTTGAATCGACCAAGCTGTACGCGCGGTTTAGCGAGGTGTCTGCTGAGCATCCGTATTCGTGGAATTATGGGAGGAAGGATAGTGAGGAGGTTATTGGGACTGTTTCCCCGAGAAATCGGATGATTTGTTTTCCTTGTACGCTTCTTTCCCTGGTATGAGGAGGTATGCTGACGATATAGATCCGCTGTTGATGAACGCGTTTAATACTGTCAATCTGTCTGCTGCGTGTGTCCTCACTTCGGTCGAGTATGCCCGCGAACTGGGAATTCCGGAGAACAAATGGATATATCCTCGCGCCGGTGCTGGATACCGCGATGCTGATCACTGTACGAACCCTCCTCGTCTCTGGAGACAGACATGCTAACGATACAGTCTGGAACCGTCCAAACTTCCACACCAGCCCGGCGATCTCCAAGTCCTTGGACCACAGTCTTGCTTCGTCGGGGTTGACGGCAGCCGACATCGACATATTCGACTTGTACTCGTGCTTCCCTATCGTCCCGAAACTGGCCTGCCATCATCTCGGACTGCCAGTCGATTCGCGCAAACCTATTACCGTCCTTGGTGGATTGACTTCGTTCGGTGGTGCTGGGAATAACTATTCCATGCATGTAAGCATTATTCAGATATAATGGATTATGTACAATCCTAACGATGCAGGCTATCACCGAAATAACCCGCCAACTGCGCTCTGGAAAAGGCCGGCATGGTCTGGTCCTAGCTAACGGGGGTGTCCTCTCCTACCAACACGCCGTGTGTCTGTCGACTCTCCCTGGAGACGGCGCTTATCCAAACGGTACTCGTGCCGTTGACGCCGACGCAACTCCAGCAGTAGACGAAACGGCCAGCGGATCCGCCATGATCGAGACGTACACGGTCGATTTCCACCGCGACAACACGCCGGCACGGGCGTATATCATCGGTCGACTGGAGGATGGACACCGCTTCGTAGCAAACCACGGCGACGGACAAACATTGGCGCAAATGGCATCATGGACAGAAGAACCAATCGGCAGGACAGGATTGGTGAAGACAGAGAACGGACGGAACTTATTCTTTTTGCAGCGGGCCGCACTATAGCCAACACCCAACAACATCCGTAAATAAAATTAAGATTATTACCTCCCAACCTCATACTCCGTCGTAACCGCAATCCCCATCCTCGGCGTAGTCCTCCTCCCATTGTTATTCCCATTCTTCACCAACTCATCCTCACTCTCATCCTCCAGACTCTGCACCCCCCCGCTCCGCTGCCACTGCCACTCCCACTGACTCGTCGGCCTCTCCGCAGAAATACTCGTCGCCCCTTTATGCGTCGACTGTGACTGTGACTGACCGAAGGACAATTCGAAGGTGCGAGTTCGGCTGCGACTGCCGGTGCCGGTGCCTGTGTTGGAGCGGGATCGCGAGCCGAAGAATAATGTGCGCAGGACGGGGAGGCAGGAGGCGATTGTGGCGATGGCGGTTTCGATCATGGAGACGGTGCAGGTGATTAGTTGTTCGTTTTTGGACGAGTAGATTGCGCGGATTACTGCGTCACGTTAGTACAACTTCGATTTGATGTAGTTAGGGGGGTCTTAGGGGAGTGCGTACTGCTCGAAATAACGACCAGAAAACCAAGCAGGAAAATACTGAGCACACCCAGCTTCTGCTTAAACGGCATCTTAATCCTAACAACCTGCGAAATCGGCAAACAGATGATAAACACATCACTAAAGATGTTCAGCAGCACCATCAACCAAAAAGCCACTTTATCCTGATACGCTGGACAAGTCCTCTCCGGGTGATCCAGATCCCACAACCGATCCGGCGGGTAGCACTTGAAAATGATATGGAAGAAGATTGTCGCCCATGTCGCGGCCAAGAGGCCGAGGGTGATGTTGTAGATGGTCTGATAGCGCGTGCGGTCGGCGAGACGTTTGTAGAAGATGACCATTGCGGCTTTGATGAGCCAGAGGGAGGTTATGTAGAGGATGGAGCCGGGAATGATCATTTGCATCATGTTGATTGTTTCTTGTTTGGTTGCAGATTGCATTTCGGACATTCCTTCACCTCATCGTTAGTATCGTCCGCGAGGTCTGGATACAGGGGCAGGGACAGGGAAGTACCATTGTCAAACATGTAATGCTGAATCCCCAACGTCGCAATAAGCCCTCCCACCGACAGCGCAATGAGAAAATCATCCACGTAGAACTTATGGAACTGCGTCCATCGCACGACCAGCCGCGCGAGCATGAACACAAACGCCACGATGGTGCAGATGTACCATCCGACCTGTTTCCATCAGTCTCCCATTGAATCTAGAATGAAAAATGTATAGTAGACATACCACATGTCCCACGTCAGGACGCGACATAGCGATCTACAGATGTACTGGACGAACGTTGTGATCTGCCGGGAGGATTATCACACGGGGCAGATGGCGCATCTTACGGGATGATGGTACTATTTTATGATTGTGTGGCGAGAGGCAAGAGAGAGAGAGGAGACTGTGAAATGTATCCATGGTTCGGAGCTATTCAGTACTCAATATTAAAACCCTCAGGGACCATTATTGAGCTGAGCACTAGGGCCGACATTGCATGGCATGTTACAGAAAGAAAGCTTTCATTAGATCTCGGCGGCCACAGTTGCATGACAAAACAGAGACTGTCTCGGACATGAAAGTTTGTAGTACCAACTGTGTGGTTGACGCTCGTTCATACGCTGTTACTATTGAACTTAATCGGGGAAAATTCGGACAGTAGACCCACTACTAACGCATAACGGTCATTTCCACGCTGAAGTATACGGAATTCCCTTTTCAATCACTATTCTATCAAATGTGCTATGCTATGTACAACTACTCCGGACTCTGCACCACCGGATACCCAGGAATATACTTCTTATACACACTCTGGCACCTTCCATTAAACTCCCCCGTCTCACCCATCTCAATCTCCAACTCCTTCCCAGGAACCCCAATCTTAGCCAACGGTCCATTCTTAGCTGAGGCACGGTCCCACCCGGGCCCAGCGCTGGGATTCTTGACCCACGCCACGAGCCAATCATTCATGTTACCCGCGAGGGCCTGTTCGGCGTCGCTCACGCCGGAGATTTTAGAGAAACATTCGTTTCCGCCGTGAAAGAAGGGTATTTCGCTGCCGTGGGAGGCGGCGAGGCCGGTTCCTAGAATGTTGTCGTATTGGCCGAACCAGCGGTATACCCAGACTGGTTGGGAGGAGGCGCGCAGGTCGATCATGTAGTCTGTTGGGCAGAAGAAGCGCGCGTCGCCGTAGGATGCGCCGCTCATCTCGGAGATAGAGGAGTAGTCTGCTTCGTTGTAGGCGTTCAGGAGTACATCGTCAGGGACGTAGGCGATGTCCGCGTCGAAGGTGTTGATCCAGTAGCTGAAGTTGGTGTTCTCGAAAGAATACACGTTGGCGAAGAGTGCACCTTCTCTGTCAGAGTTGCCGACGAGCAGCGGCACTGATGTTGGGAATTTGCCCTGCGCGTAGCGGCCTTCATAGTCGGAGTAGCGGGTGATGTTGTCCACGACCGGGGAGAACCAGGTGTTTGTGGTGGAGTTGAAGTTGCTGGTCTGCAGAGCGTAGGTGTCGACCTTGCGCAGACAGTCGAGAGTCGGGTTGCTGGCGTCGCAGTCTAGCGTAACACCGCTGGCTTGGACATCCTCTGCGACCTGGGACAGAGCTTCGCCATAGGGAGCGTATGCCGGTCCGGATTTGGCATTCGCCGACAATTCCATGGCACCCGCGATGGTAGTGTCGGGGTGATTCCAGAGATAATGGTCGACCTGACACGTTAATCATCTTCCCAACAACTGACAGTAAAAAGACTTACATGGACACCACCCGAAGAATGACCAGCAATCACAATCCGACTCTTATCACCACCGAAAGCGTGGATATTATCCATAACCCAATCCAGAGCGAGTTCAACATCCAGAATACCGAAATTCTGCGACTCCGACGAGCCCTCCAACTCTGGCGAAGCTGGCGAAGCGAAAATCGACTCGCGGTAGTTAATGTTCACATAGATAACGTCCTTTCGCGCAAAGTTGTATCCCTGCCATTGCGCATTGCTGTTTCCGCCGGTGACCATCGCTCCGCCGTAAATGTAGACGAAAACGGGCAGGTCGGTGCCGCTGGTTGGTGTCCATACCTGTCCGTCTATTTAGCATGTATGTTCGGATTCTCATAGAGAAAAGCACATACATTAAGATTTAGACAATCCTCGCTCTGCGCAACAATGGCATCCCCCGACATAGCCTGCGCACAACTCGGCCCATACCGCGTCGCGTCAATCTCCCTCGTCAGCGACGCCGACACCCCCTGCGGCGCCTTCCACCGATTCTCCCCTCCAGTCGTCTCAGCAAACGGAATCCCCAAGAAGACATACGTGCTGTTATCCTCAAAGCCACGCACGAGACCCTGATCCAGACGAACCGTCGGATACCCCTGACATCTCCCGATATGCCCAGTCCACAACGCCGTAGTAGTCACAGCGATGCAAAAGGCGCGGTCGACAATGTCCCAAATCAAACCCATCTTTTTCGATGCTGATCAGCGCAGGGTGAGGAGAATGGTGACGAGAGAATGATGCCGATCGGATGCAACCAAACGGGTTTAAGAGGCGATCGGACAGTTGCCGAAAAGGGCTACGGTGTCCACCGACCATGTGGTGGTGAGGGATCCATGGGTCGGGTATTTCACGGTTGGAGAATTGTTGATTAAGTTGAGTGGACTGACAGGGGCTGGAAAAGCTAGAAAGTGTCTGGAAAGGTCCTTGTGCTCGTGGAGGAGTCTGAATAGGGTCAAGCCGTATGGCATACTGCGTATAGGATCGATTATCTCCGACCCTAAAAAAGTGAAGTAGTGGTTCGTAGATTGATCATTGATTGATTGATATGAATTGATGTCTATGTCTCAGATTAACCAAAACATTCGCAGAATTTTATAGATCATACCATAGAACAGCAACACGAATCTCCATCTACTGATAGCCGATCCGGCATATTCCGGCAATGACAGAAACTGTAACCTTTCCGTAAATGGCGAAACACCCGCCAATGTATCCATGGCAAGCTCCCGGTGAAATCACCTAGTATACCCCCGATCATCTACCGATGAGGATGCCCCGGGTCGAACCAGCATCTGCGAAGCCCAGTAGAATACCACTGCTCTGATCCGTCGACGGTGCCATGTTCCTAGATCCAGATTTTCGGGGCAGTGTCTATCGGCGTGGTTGATGCGGTTCCTTGGACGACGTTGGGTGTCATCTATCCTTCGGCACCACTCTATTCACTAGTGCGGATTGTAACATGAGCTGCATTCCTAATGCACGCAACCTTCCTAAACATCGATGTCGACCGCAAGCCCTCCTGCGGTAACGTATGCGATTCCAATATACCTGCTCAACACACACATACACACACACACACACACACACACACACACACACACACACACACACACACACAATCTCCTACCAAATAGTACGATCTGACCTGGGCATAGATCTCCTTCTGGCCATAGCGCGGAATTAGATCGTTGAATCTAGAGAGAAGAGTCAGGTATCAGTACACTTTGTCATCTTCGTCGACTGTCACGACGAAAGAGGACCGTAGGATAGATGTCGGGAAATCAGGCACGGAGCATAGATGACTGGGTATTTCACTGCTAATTAGCCCATGTCGCATCCCGTGGACGCTATGTGAGTTGATGGTCATATATTGAGGACTATCAATGATACCCAAAAGCTTGACACGCTTCCAAAAGCCTCCCTGATCGTAGCCACATCCGGTGCTGTATGATAGGTTCTGGTTCTCTTTCGATTCTCTCATCAATTGATCCAAAATGCCAGCTCCGTTAGGCCCTATAAAAGCACAGTACCACCGTAGTGCTATGCCGTTCGCATTGCTGGCCTTGAAGATCCTCTATATAATATGTCGCTAGGAGATGGCGTTGGCTAGGATGGGAACGGTGGATAGTGGCTAATGAGGCTTTTCAAGACAATGAAAACAATGCAACTCCGGACAATGATGCTCATTAACCAGGGGTCAACACTCGCTTTATTTCTTTTTTACCCTTTTTCTTTCTATGACTCTGCTACTTCACGACTACCAATACTCCTTCGATCACAAGAAGTCATGAGAACAACAAAAATGAAAACCGAAGATTTAGATAATGAACTGAGCGATATCAGCAGTACCAGGGGCAGCCCAAAAACAAAGCATCCCCAGCGACCGCGGACACAGCGAGATCCCGAAATGACCTGGAAGTGATATTCAACACTGTGGCCAATCGTTGGGGTCTGGAGCGGACCAGCCTCATTCTCACGCCTGAAAAGGACATCAAGTTCGCGAGGGCCGTGAAAAGAATGGCCAAATTAGGAATCCCTTTCGAACAGGTTATCGCTCGTTCTAACCAATCGATCCTGCGACGGCTAACGTGGGGACGTGGGAAGCGTGGACCGCCTAATTTCTCGGACATAGATCTCAATAAGATCCTCCTCAATGCTCCTGACGCCGTGGACGTTGCTGCAGAGGAAGCTTCGCGCCAATGGAATGGTTTTTGATGGCCTCGGCTTTTTGTATCAATTGTACTCTGGAGAGATTCCACCTCTCCCCGCAACCCCTCGCGATAAAGATGCTGCGCTTGTTACTGGACATAGATCCGTGCTGCCATTTACTACCCCGAAAAATCTTCCAGGCGTCAACTGCGACTCCTAAAGCCCCTTTGGCGGACGCACAGCAGCGACTGGAAGTGAACGAGGCAACCTCCGGCGCAGCCCCAATCCGGAGGTTGAAAGCGATACAGCCGCTCATATCCCTCGTTGAAGACAGAGCTATTGCTGATGTGGGAATTGCTCAATCCGCCGTCCCACCCAAAGCCCAAGGAGCTACAACCTCTCTCACCTCTCGCACTGGCATCGCCAAGGACGAATCGTACTCGAAAGAAGTTTGCGAGGAAGGGTTTTGGAAGGATTTGGAATTTGAAGTCAGCGTGATTCTAGGATCCGAAGAAGCTGGGAAGCTCTTCATCAAACATCTCCAGGAACGTCTCCTTGATGCTTCAGACGACATGACGGCGGAAGCCATTGCACGAGCCGATTCAATGTCTGGCGGCGCTGGCGGCCCATCCGATGTTCTTGCTGGTAGCTAACTCTCGCTGTCAGTCTTAACAAGGAGAAAAGACGATGGCCGTCCGCGATCCAATGCTACAATAATTGTTAATAATCACCTGTTCCTCAGGGGCAACTATCAAAGAGGAAACGCAGTAAAGCTTGCTATTCAATAATCAGGATATTATCCGGCTGATCCAACCAGCACGGGCGAGCTTCAATAAATGATTGTAGAATTAAGATACCTAGGCGGAAATCTGATCATATCCACTCTTCGTAAAAGTTGCCCTGAACTAAACCACCCCGACGATACTGTTGGAGAGCCTCAGGCTTCAATATGCCCCGCTCCTGATTGGCCCGCACTAGCGAGCCCACATACAACTGCTGGATAGAGGAGATCCACCCTCATCCATCTACACAGACACAGAATACAATAGTATCGTCGATTCCGTTCCTTGCCATAGCCTGATCCACAGATGCTAGCGCCGGTTTTTTCTTTGTCTCGTCCAGGGGACCCAATTAGACTATTAAAGTCTCTAATGAACGCTCTGTCCTCGAGGATCAATTATTTGATCCTTCTTTGGGCGAAAACACTGGCCAAGCCAAGGCTGAGCCGCCGCCGCCTAAGACGGTGAACAGTGCGTGGGGACATGCGCAATGCAAGATGAGATGGATCGTGCCTGAATAGACCTGTAAATACTTGATGTCTGTTGGGCTTCTTATTGTGCATCTGGTAATGGTACTTTGGGCTGCAGGATTGGGCTGAATTGATCTGACGTGTCCCACAAGGGAGAACAAAGAAACAAAGAAAGAACCACTGTCATTAGGGAAAACAGTCAGTGAGCTTACCACAACACAATCTATACAAACATCAGAATGGAGGAACACGCAGAAAAAGTGATCGAGATTTCCTCCAAGGCGAGATATCTTTACGATCGTTGTCTGGGATTTCAGATCTATAATGGCTCAACACAGTGTACCAGGGAATCCTCGAAAACACAGACCAACACCATCGACATCCGCTCTCTAAACAGTGTGCTACATGTCGATGCCAACAAGAAAATGGTCCTCGTCGAGCCCAGTGTACCAATGGAAAATCTTGTCGCGGCTACTTTGGCCCATGGGCTGATTCCACCGGTAGTGATGGGATACCGAAATATCACGGCCGGGGGTGCATTTGCGGGCACATCTGGGGGGAGCAGTTCCTTTCGACACGGATGTTTCGATCGAACGGTAACCCGCATTGAGGTTGTTCTGGCGAACGGGCAAGTCATGAGGGCGTCGACGACAGAGAATACGGAATTGTTTTACGGAGCCGCGGCATCATTTGGAACGCTGGGTGTCGTGACATTGCTGGAGATACAATTGTTCCCGGCGAAGCCATGTGTCCGGTTGGAATATCGGCCTGTATCGTCAGTGTCGCAGGGTGTATCTGAGATTCAGAGGTATACCACCAACACCGATTGCCATTATCTCGACGGAATCATGTATAGTCGGGACAAAGGTGTTCTTTCCGCAGGTTATTTGAGCGACAAGCCCTCCGAGTCCACACCGGTGCAACATTTCACGCGGTCCACAGATCCGGGGTTCTGCATGCACATGGAGGAGATCCTGGCCAGAGGCACCCCTGCAGAGGATTACATCCCGTTAGTCGATTATCTCTTCCGGCACGACAGAGCAGGCTCCTGTATTGGCAAGCATGCAAGCGGCCTATTCAGACAGTACACTATCCAAGACATTGCGGTACCGTACGATGGTGCGTCTGAATTTATCGACTATCTGGATGATTCCTTCGGACAGTATCCGATCTGTTTCTGTCCAGTTCGACAAATCACACCCCGTCCTGATGGTTCCAAGGTTCACGGGCTCATGGCCCAGCATTATTCATCCGAGTCAATTCCGAAAGAATCAGAAGTGCTACTCAGCATCGGTATCCATAGCCCAGGACCGAGACCCGAGGAGGAATTCATCGAATTCAACCATTCAATAGGACGAAAAGTGCACGCGCTCGGCGGCCAGAAATGGCCGTACGCGCGCACATACCACACCGAGGCAGAATTCTGGTCAATTTATGACCGGCAATACTTCGATCGCTTACGTCGGAGGTACCATGCTATCTATATGCCCACGCTCTATGAAAAGGTACGTGCCCGGGTGGTGGAGGAGCATGGCTGCATGGAACTGTGGCCGTTGAGCGGGCTGATTCATTTGGTTGTGCAGACGGAGTGTCTGCTTGGTCGGAAGAAGAAATTGAATGTGTTTTCGGGGGATATATCGGCGTGGTTCGTTTTCTTGGTTGCTGGGTTGTACTACGTTGTGACGGGTGGTGGACTTTGAGGGGTGAATGGAGTGAACGTTTTGGTTTATGTAGGTTTGAATTCTCTATAGTAATATATTAAGCCCTAATATACATCGGATTTATTGAAACAGTTATTGTAGTACAGAAGCTCGCGGTCATTCACTTACGCGCTGGCCATCTCGCATCTCAGTCTTCAGATTACCTACTAACCACAACCAGTAATACAACCAACTGTTACGTCTGCAACACGTGCCGTGTCTGTTCGTTGGCCGTTTTATAGTAAGACACTTCGCTGAACCCCATAATTGACCCAGTCTAACAGCGTCTATAGTATATGAGGAACTTTGCTCATATCCTATTAGGGTAATGGGCATAGCCCTATTACACTGGTTGACTGCCGGGAATACTGCTGACTTACGATATGGCATGATGCGGATCTACTTCAGAAGCAAGCACCAAGGATGGATGAGCTGTACGGTTGTGATAGGGCCAGAAACTATCCAAGGAACAGTGGGGAGAAGGATGGGGGAGGCCTGCAGCAATCCCTCTTCGATTTTCTAATCGCAGAAACTTCCCCCATAATGGAGGTCATCGAAGAAACTTGATGGTTCGTTCGCTTGCTTGCGTATCTTCTGTGAAGGATACGAGTGTTAATAATATTCAGCCAAATGACTAGCTAATACCATTCAAATGTAGAGATATAGAGCGGTACGGCCCCAGATTTGGGGAACTTGCCATCCATGGCCCTGTCTCGTGTTTCAGCCGATAGGGAACGAGCTCCTCAATTACCACATATTGCACCGACATTAGTAAAAATGAAAACCTCCACTCCCACGCCTCCGAAGTCACACACCACGACGTATTGGTCTTCTCTGGTTGCTATATTCTATACCCAATTTGAATTGAATTGGCGTTATAAAATGGTGGTTGTATGTGCTAGAGACATTTTGTTTGTGAACTTGCATCTGTTATCAAATGACTATTGATTTTTGTTAATCTATTCCCGTCAAAATGTCCTACATTCATAGACCATAAGTATATGCGCAATGCACATTAGCCGGCATAGTGTCCCGATTCGATAATTCATGCCTGAGGCATTAAACTCGCACTAGTCCACATCTGGCCTAGCTTGTTTCGGTGACATGGGCCCAAAGTCCGGGGAATTTCCCTCTTCGTTTCGACCACACCAGAATAAACAATAAAATGGCCGACCCTCTGCTAGGATTTGGAGAGTTTACGTCCTTTCTCTCGCCAACTCAATTCGTCACAGCCCTGCAAAAAGCACCTCCATCCCCGCGCATCATTCCAGTGGCCGCGGGGCGCGCTGCTCAGCATGGCGAGTCGTTAAGGACACAGCATATCCCGGGATCTGTGTAGGTCTTCCACAAGCCGAGTCGGATATAGCTAACAATGACAGTCTCTTCGATATGGACATCATCCGCGACACTTCCTCCCCCTACCCCCAAATGCTCCCCAGTGCATCGCATTTCGCCGACTCCGTCAGCCAACTCGGAATCACCCCCGATGACGTCGTGGTTGTTTACGATCCGTTCGAAGTGGGCTTCTACAGCGCCCCGCGCGTCGCGTGGATGTTTCGATTATTCGGTCACTCCCGGGTATACGTTTTGAATAACTTTCGGTTATACGTGGGCGAGGGGCACCCGGTGGCACAGGGGGAGATACTCATGCCGGAGCGGAGGGAATATCCCGTACACGACATGGATGAGAGTAAAGTCATCGCGTTTGAGCAATTGAGGGATATGATACAGCAAGGGAGAGATGCAGATGTCCAGATCCTCGATGCACGTGTTCCTGGTCGGTTCACTGGTGTCGACCCAGAAGCAAATGCTGCGTTGAGTTCCGGACATATGCCCAAGTCGATCAATGTCCCGCTTGCATCGATGCTAGATACTGAGGCGCAGACTATGCTGCCTGCCATTCAGCTGAAGGGACTATTCGCGGCTGCTGGAGTTGACTCCGTCAAGCCCAAGATCTTGACCTGTAACTCCGGAGTAACGGCCGCGGCTCTCGACATGGCCCTATCGGAATCCAAATTCGACGAAGCACCGCGGAGGATCTACGATGGGAGTTGGTCAGAATGGGCTCTACGCGCTGGGCCAGGCGATGGGTTAATTGAGAAATCAGTTTCGTAATATATATACATCTGGTCCATATTCAATCCTCTAACCATCCTGCAATTGCCCGAGCCACCTGATCGCTATTCTTCTCCATGAACACCATGTGACCGTTCCCGTGAATCCCCAATTGCGCCAACGCCCAATGTTCCGTTTTGACACCCGCCTGTCGCAGAAACAGCACGGTGCACCAGTCATACTGTGCATGGTACGATGCCTCCGTTGTGATCAAAAGTACCGGGAACTTGCTGATATTAGCCAACTGTCGCGGCTGCGGATCCTTAGCCTGGGTAAGACAATCGAATCGATCCGTCGAGCTCGCCTGAACCGTCTGATACACAAAATCACTCTTGGGATCCGTGACAGCCGGCTCGTACGTAACTGGAATATCAGCCAAAGCATACGCTCTAGCCGGCGTATTCCCAAAAGCCACATCGTGAAAAGGTGGCCCAGACGGCTCAATAGCCACAAGCGAGTGAATCAAATCCGGCCTTGCGTCCGCGATAATCCAGGACATCGTTCCGCCCTGCGAATGACCAACGAGGATAACCTCCCTTCCAATACGATCCAGCAGCTGCGCACCTGCATTTTGAACAGTAGATTGCTGCGCAGTCGATACATTCACGTACGGGACATTAGAGGCGTAGAACGCATCAAATACGGGATCGCCTATTACACCGGAGCCAGGCCATTGGGTATGCAAGTGTGCCTGGGGCCAGGTATTGTATCGCTCCGGTGCCGTAAAGTACTCCTGTATATGCTCCGCGGTGAATACCGACTGGGTACCACTTTCCGGTGTCCACGGACTACGGCCGCGGGATGTCTGGTCCAGGATGTAGCATTCGTAGCCTTGGGATAGGAAATAGGATGCCCAGCCGTCGCCGCCATCCGGCTTATTCAACCAGTTCTATTGCCGTCAGTTAGTTTTCCTGATATCCCCCCCCCCTTTCACGGAGTCAATATACATACCGTCCCCGTCTGCCCCTTCCCATGAACAAACACAATCGGGTACTCCCTCGACACACCACCCGCCGGAACAAGCCTCTCAACATACATCTGGTTCGTGAAGATATTCTCGCCATCAGTGTTGATGCTGTAATTCCCGCCGACGTAAAAGTACGAGCGCTCATGGCTTGTACTGGCTGATATCAGGCCTAGGAAGGATGATACTAGGAGGGTGAGGAGAGTTGATATCATGTTGGGTAACATGAAGTTGTGTAGGTCGGTTGAAGATGATATGAATTAGAATCTTGGCTAACGGGGATTTATAGCAGCTCGAGGCCAATGTTTTGTTTGCTTATTCTGGCTACCCGGACAACAGTTATTATGCAATACAGCTGCAGCTGCATGCATCTCGTATGCCGCTCATCCTGGACTACTTCCCGTTCTGTCGAGGACTGGATGCGAGGAAGACAGCTCCTCTAAACAGTGAATGTAGTACAACACATGCATTCACCTGAAGGGATATCGTTTCAATGCTTACGGCAAGTCACAGCTCCCAAGATTGCCGGGTGTAGGAGTATTCTTCATTCAACGTCGGTCTTTATCTCTTCGTCCCACCCTCATGTCCTATGACCAAAGCTTCCTGCAATAATACTCTATGCTATAAGCCATCATGATATCTCCGTATTGGAGAGCAAGTCCTGCCTCCGTTCGCGGCTATCATCATTCAGCATAACGAGAAAGGTCTGAACCCCCTATACACCGAGACCTTATCCATCAAAATGAATCAAGGTTTCGGACAACGGTCCTCTCAAAGGCATCCAGTATTCCACTGATCAGGATGATAGACGTCCAGTATTCAGATGGCAACAGGTATACCCAACAGAGCACCCATTGGGCATTCTGACATAAAGGAGCTAGCTCCCCGCCATCGAGAGCCATCCACGAAACCTATGAGATAACCGCACAGCCAGGCACTAGCCATGACACTCGCCGATAGAGATGCCGTGATAGTGGCTGTGCGAACTGATATTGTTTCGCGTACTATTATGGCATGATGGAATCATTGTCAGTCCAGTTTGTCATCGATGCTCGCTAAACTAAACCTGCCAGTCGACCTGAGAGTCACAAATGTTATCCAGAAATTTGACGGCGGTGGCTTTTCTGTCATGTTATTCAGGTAGAACTGATGAGCTCGTTTCAAGCACCGCTATTACATCTGGTCGTTGCGTGGGTTTCGTTGCCTTGCTCATGGCGATTTACTTATTCTCAGAGACAACAATAGCAACGCAAAGTTCCCGATACCGAAGCTGATCGAATGTCATCGATCGGTAATTACTCTTGTTCGTGCCACGGTCTCTGCGAGTGCCGGCCTATCCGGCCTCAGGGCAAGAATTGTGGTCGTCAAACCAACTGCCAACCAACGAAGGGGTTTTCTATGGTGCTCTGCACGGCGTCGTGCTTCTTGCGGCCCACGCCCGATTAAGCCTCCTCATCAAGGTGATGATACATGTCAATTAGCCACAGCTATGGGGCCAGAGAGTTGATGATGAGATTCAAACCCATGTTACTGAAAGGCGCTCGGGCAAACTGCGGCACGCTGGCCACGTTAAACGTTCTCGAGGCAGTATACCAAGATGGAGTTTACAGAGCCATTTTGGACGCGTATTATACGACTTCGGCAAAGTCCAACCGTCAGCTGGGTTTCATGCATCAAGCAAAACAATCTATAATGTGAACTATAGGACAAGGGGCAAGCAAAACCTTTGAACCAGACAGAAGACCCCGGCGAGAACTCTCGTGATCATGCCATCAGAGTAGCATGATTCGGTAGCCGCTTGGATTCATCGGACTTTAGCCAACGGCCCCTCTTTTGAAGAGACAGATACGGTGCCAATAACGATAGGGATCAAATGGTGTTGTGTTCTCTCTTGAAGAACTGTCAGTCTCGTTCACTGCTAACCTTTCCCGTGTCGAGGCGATGCAGTTTTATAGAATGCCTTACTTACAGATGGGTCAAATCTACGTTCACCCGCCACTGTAGTCACACACGGAGCAGGTGGCAATTATTAAGGTTGCATGCAGACATGCAAATGTTAAAATGGCCGACATGCTCTTGCAAATGGATTCAAGCAGCCAGCTCTCCGCCGTCTACATTGCAGCCAAACAACAATGCATCAATAATTCGCATCCTATCACTCTACATTATATTCCTGGTTTTTTAATATATGCCGTGGCAGCATGTCATGCCCGATAATTGCGCTATACCGGAGTCAAGACTTTGACACTTCGATTACCCACGGGATCAGTCATCTGGATCTGGATCTCTAACCTACAATCACCTTCCTCCACATTTGCTGTTTCTGGGTCCCGCTTCTCAAGTGTGCCCTTTAATAAGCGAGATAATGGTCTGAACGCAAAATCCCGTACGACACCCGCTTTCCACTAAGCTTGCTGCTTTTGGGTCAGATGGCCACAGCCGACATGCATATCATGGACACCCGTTTGTCACCTCGTTTATGCTAAGTGTGAAGAACAAAAGACAAGGGGTATAGCTTGTGCTTTGAGTCAGGTCGAGGCCGCCTGTGTCATTGTCTAACGTATCATCTCAGAGTCAATATATTACCATGGGCGAATACCACGAAACAAGGTTCTTTCCCAAATGGATTACGGAATCTGGGATTTTGTTACATTGCATCCCACGTATACACTAACGAGAATAATGATTACATTCTTCGACGATAAATCGACCCTCGAAGTCAAAAATACCCAAGGCCAGCAGCAAGCCAGCCTGGCCAGATTGATCCAGACCGATTATTTACAAAGATCCCGTGCCAAATCAGACAACAGGTGACGGAGCGACTGAGGCTTTAATCAAAGCACCTGCAACTCCGTCAAACGATGACAAAGATGACCTAGCCTTACGCCATGCCCAAAGACGACACCTTCGTTGAAGAAGAGTGCCTGGTTTGGATTGCTCTTAATGAGCAGCAAGCCCCATGAGGAGTTTTAAGGTGCAAATTCACCAGAAAAGACGTGAACAGTTGAGTCTATATACCCAGCCCAAGGGAGCTCCTATAGCAGATAGTAAGAACGCTATCGCCAATTATACGACTCAAAGATACCGGTGTGATTGGGCAGATGCGATATACACAATCAGGTACAAAGAGAAACGTCGATAAAGGAATTGAGAGATCAGCAAGAAGCGATGGCGGACGACACCGCTGAGAAAACTAAATTTGATGCTGCGAGTCTACCTACGGCAATTTGAACTGCTGTGGGACAATATTATTGGGCATGGTGGTCTTGAATTTGCACGTCTCTCGTGAGAGAGGAGGGATATCCTTTTTGTAGGATGCAGGAACCAGTGTGTGTACAAGCTGGGCAACCGCTATGAATAAGGAGTTCACAGTACACGTATGACAGCGTTGCGATATCAAGCTGAGTTTTGTCGACGTGAATACTCTTTCTAATCTAGCAAATGTCGAGCTATACCGGCTTTCCAGCAAATGCCGAAATGAAAAGGGATGAAAAATCTCAACTTCGAATTTCAAGCGGAATCTGGTTCTTCAGAAAGTCTCATCCTTGTGAGTCCCCCTCTGAAGAAGGGGAAATCTTTGGCACCCTCTGGCACTATTGCCAACTCAAGTGGGTCAGCATTATATCTCCCAAGTTGTACGCCTCGATGGTGCGCGTACCTATTTAGAGCCGCTGGCAAACCAATAAAGACAGGCTGGAGACGGGCTTGAGTCCACAACACACGCAATAAAATCTAAATGGCCTAACAACCCTGCAGTTAAACTCGGTTTCATGAAATGAGATTCGCGAATCGCGCCGAGGCAGGCTCTGGCAAGTCTTTTTGAGGTTGATAGCCGATCTAACTGCGTTAATTGCCCCAATTGATTCGACTTTTTTGAGGGTTCCCAAAAAGCTCCCTTGGTCCCGCATACTCACCTTTGAGTAAAACGCAAACGTCAGTGTGTTCAGAGGCTATATGGTAATTATTTTGAGATCCTGGACAAAAAGTTAACAGCAAACCGGAATGCTGTACAGGATTAATGCATTAAGCATCCTATTCTACTCATAAGGTTTTATTCGGTGCATTGGTCGTTTGGGAAATGCTAGTGCAATGCCACAACTATCCCAGTGAAAGCGAGCATGACCCAAGGTCCGCGCATATGGTCCTGAGTCCAGCCGAGCCCTTTTCGTCAGTGCTTTCTAGATTACTAGCAGCGATTTATCTCCCATTATATCGTCTCCGGACCTTTGAGCGTCTCGACGTAGCAAGACAATCATTCTGCCTGTTCAAGCCTTCAAATCGCACTTGGCACCAAAAGCTTTTTGTCAGCCGAAGCAAAATCTGCCTGGAGGCTTTTTCTGATCTCCGTATTGCAACTCGCAGGTCCTTGCTATCTTGCGATAACCTTCTTTGGATCTGATACCACGCAAGAGAAATCCACCTCTTTCGAGTCATTGTCGAAATGGCATCAACGCATTCAACTCTCCATAACACACATGTTGAAATCGCTAGGGTCAATTCTACCAAAATCGTGGTGTTACAGCTTCTCCATCCCATCAATATGGTACTACCAGAACTCATTGCCCAGGATACGCGATACTATGCGTCTGTGAAAGGCAAGGTGGACCAGCAGCCCGTCAGGATTCAAGTGGTCCAACGACGGACTTTTCAATCGCTTGTTTGCTTATCAACATTATCAACGCTATAATAGACATTACCTGTTGTGCTGTGAACCATTAGCAACGGGTTTCAGCCAGAATTCTGTTTAATGGCACCTAGACTTAAGTTTATCACTATGATAACAAGGGTCTACTTGAATCTGCATATACACGACAGACAAGTTAAGGCGCATTAGGGCTGATGGCTCGCCACCTTACCGGGGTCTTGCGTCTTCTCGTCGTAAGTTATGGGACTGACCATTTTACGCAACTGGCTGTGCAGTCTCCTACTCAATGCCTAAAAGACAAGTCTGATTATCTCAGAGCCCTTCTCGATTCGAAGAAATGTACCAATTCTGATTTGACAGAGGATAAACGGGCTTGGTGAAAAATACACCAGGAAGCACTTCCTCGGTATCAGCTCAATTTACATGAAGAGAGCTTCGAACAACACATTACAAGCAAGAGTCAGAAACGCCAAACATAATGATACCAGACGAGGAATATCGGCCAGATTGCGGATGCCTACCATCGAAGCCTGTATCGACCAATTCCTTACGGGCCTAAAACTAATTGGACGAAAGAATTAATTTGCTTGGCTGGAAGTACATCACGAAGCACCACTCGACTCCAGAATATCCTGACATGCTCCCCTTTCGCCGAGTCGTCGACCATATCGTTTTCTCAAGCTTTCCCAGTTCGAAAGCGATCCGACAAGCGTGCAAAGAAACAAATATTTAGCAAATTTTCAACACCGGCTCTCATACGACCCAAGTCCCACCCATCTCTCAAATACTGAAGTCCAGAGGTTTTTGATCGCGGATTATACTACTCAAAGTCAAGGCAAACACTGAGATAACTGTGCCGGACCGCCTTATTTAACTCAGAGTTTTCCTCTTTGAAGTCCGGCTATAAACAGGAAATTTGTCAGATATGGACAGAGGTCTAAATGTTCGGTGCCGCGTCTACTAGTAGTTCCTGCCAGGATTCTGTTCAATGGAACCGTAGACCCAAGTGTACCGGTATGAGAGGACACTTAATGGTCTCAATTTGACTCGGTTACAAATGCACACCGTCCAAGCCAGGTCAGATACAGGCCTGTCAGCCTTGAAAATAACTGGCATTCCCGAAAATACGTTTCAAAACATATCATCAAAACTCTAAGTCCACGGCAAACATATGATCAAGGAGGAGCGAGATAGAATCCGAGGAGACCATCAACTCATTGATTAACCACCTCAACGGAGGTATCTGACCCTAGACGAGCGAGATGGCTCTGCATGGGAAATTTGCAAAGGCCACGAAACATGCAGCGAACGTGAGCAGGTACTTACAGTGCTTTGCACGAATCCAGGCCAGCATAACACATGAAATGATATCCATCGTGGATATAAAGTGCCTGGCACAATGGCCAGTTGAAGCTATACGACGCGTACAAGGTGGTCGATATCGAACCAGTCAGTACGGCGGTTATACTAAAGAGTGATATTATGTATCTTGAGTCGAGACGAGATGTGCCGTCTTTATTTACCTTTCTCGGTAATAACTAAACATGAATATGGAGGGTTGTTCCGTCATACCCAGCATGACACGAAGTTTGTAGCACGGAAGTCAAGTCAGACACCATTTAAAGCATATAAGACATTTTTCTTACCGCATGTACCGGCACCTGGCCATAGACAGGCGTCAAGAGCAGTTAGAGAGTGTCCTGAAGCAACTCTATGCCTCCAGGTCAAGTTTGCGAGGGGCACTAACAAGTGGGCGTTTGTTACTTGTTAGTTACCGGAGCAGGGTCGGTATTCGAGGATAGTAGATATATATCTCATCGGTCTATTTTATATATCCATGTCCAAATCCATATCAAATCCATCAGTACATATCACCCATCTTAAATATACAGTATTCCCCCAACCCACCCCTTAATCCCGCTCAATCCACCTCCCCATCCACTCCTCATTAACCCCCTTCGCCTCATTCACCAACCCCAAATCCAGTAACACTTGCACAACGCCTCTAACAGCACTATGCAAACTACTACTAACCCACGCATGCGTCGGCGCCGTATGCTCCCCGATGAAAACCGTGTTATGCTCGGTGACATGATAAGCGGGGATATACAACTTATGCTGCTCGACATCCGGTCTGCACCAGGACGTCGCTGTGTGCGGGTCCTCTAACCAGCAGAGTTTTTCGTAGTCGCCTGTGTAATAGTCGCGGGCTTGGTCGCCGTGCAGACTGACTACCGCATCAAGAACAGACTGGACGTATTCCTCGTCCGAGAAGGAGACCAACCGATCCGACCAATCACCACCACGATATTGGATAATGACACCCGGCCTCGACTCATTATGTCCATAGACAGGATAGTATAACGCGCCCATAGCATTACTCGGAGGCTTGGAGTATCCGCCGAAAATCGGCTTATCACCCTTTTCCCAGAACCGCTCCGAGAAGAGTAGCGCGACTTTGCAGGCTGATTTGAAGCGCAGGCCTGCTTCGCTGATTGCGCGGTCAAGCACGGAGGTGTAAGTTGGGAGGTCCATAAAGCGGGTTTGCGTGAAGGGGATGGCCATGATTGTGTAGTCGTATTCCTTTGACTCGAAGGTGCGATTTGAGACGCTTGGATACCAGGATAGTTTCGTCTTCGTCTTCCCATCGACATCCGTAACAGGTTCGACTTTGCGAATCTTCCGATTGAGCATCAACCGATCCCTAACATGCGGAACAAAAGCCTCACTCAACCGATCAAACCCCCCCTCAATACACATCCACTCCGTCTCCCCCATACTCCCCTTACTCCCATCTAAGCCAAGGTTCGAATTATGATGCAGCTCGTCCCAGAACACGTCGTAATCAGTGTCTGTCCAGATCTGATCGGTGACGTTCTCAGAGGCCCCGAAGACGTGCCGCATCATGGCTTGCTGGCTCCAGTCGTCGAGGCCGGCGTCCATGGCTTTCTTGTGGGCGCGCCAGGGGTCGCGTTGGATGGATTTCAGGGTGGGTTTGTCTTTTAGGATTGCGTCCATGTGATTTTGGGTGGTTGTATATTGTTCTGTGGACACACCACTGGACTCTTCGAGGGATGGATTGGCCTCGATCTCGCCGCGGGTTGGGATAGACCCATCAGGATGGCGCTTTGTATCCTGCGCGATGAGTTCATTCTCATGATGCTGCACCCACGGAATGAAATCCACCTTCAACTTCTCGTCCCCGTTATTCATGTTATTTAGCTTCTCGACCAAATCCCAAACCATCGCATGATCACTATACTCCAGCACCTCCCCATCATCCCACCGCACGCGATACGGCAACCTCATCGGCCCCATCTCCGCCCACTCACTCGAATTACCCACATACTTGGTCCTGAACCGGCCACCAACACGCTCGCTCGCCTCAATGATCTCCCAGTTATGCACACCCACGGAGTCGAGGAAGAGCGCTGTGGAGAGGCCCGAGATGCCGCCGCCGATTATGGCGATGGAGGTGTTTTTTAATTTTGCGGTTTCGGTGTTGGTTAGGTTTGGGTGGTGGGAGGGGCGGATGGAGGCGACGCCGTCGAACCACGCGCCGAGGGCGTCGAAGTCGCTGAGGAGGGGTTTAGGGTTGGGGTTGGTCGGGGTTGCGGTGGAGCTCGGTGCGGAGGAGGATGGCACCGAGACGGGGTTGGCGGATGCCCATGGGAGGGCTAGGAGTAAAGGAATCGCCCACATATGTAGTGGTTTTAAAACAAAACAATGACTTTGTTTTGTTTTATTTTATTTTATTTTATTTTTTTCTTTTTTGCTTATGCCACCGTTCCTGAAAATTCTTTTATATGCAATGAGGACCCTACGAGCACCACAACCTTGCAGACCCTTGGCATATGAAGATCAGATCCAGATCTGCCCAATTTGGCGAAGAGCATCAATTTTTCATCTAAGAAATATGTACTACGCTTTTAGTCAAGCCCCCAGGGTACACAAAATATACACATTAAGTATAAAACACGGAAAGAAGCGACGGCCACAAAAACGGCCACAAGAAAAGAAGAAAAAAGATTAAAAATGCGGCGTGTTCAGCGCCATCAAACACAGTAACCCGGCTGTCAACCCGGCACATGGGAGGGTGAGGACCCAGCCTCCGAAGATGAAGGCGAGTTGTCGCCAGTTTACAGCGCCGAGGTCGTAGTTCATCAGTGCGACGCCGAGGGCGGCGCCGGTTAGGCATTGTGTGGTTGACACGGGGAGACCCAGTCGAGAGGCCAGGAGAACGGTGATAGCAGCGCCGAGTTCCATGGAGAATCCACGGGTAGGGGACATTTGTGTGATCTTGTTACCCATCGCGCGCATAATTTTGAAGCCATAGAACCAGAAGCCAAGACCGAGGAGGATACCCGCGACAACGAGGAACCAGATCGGCGTGGGAGCCTCGGCGTCGGTTTTCCCGGTGCGGAAGGTCTCGTACACAGCAGCCCACGGACCAACTGCGTTAGCGACATCGTTGGAGCCGTGTGCGATAGACATCATCATCGCAGAGACAACTTGGCAGTATGTCCAGAGATGTTCAACGCGGTCGTCGTAGCGGTGGGCACGGGCGTGGATGGCGCGGAGGAGTTCGGAATCATGCGTGATCACGTCACGGGTGACACCCTGCAGGAAGAACCATTTTGTGTAGCCGAGCCATTTGGCAGGGCTTGTCCAGGGGAGGTGTTCGACTGGTGTGATGAAGCGCTCGTGGGGCTCGATGTGTTTCTTCTTGGGTTGGATTTCGGGAGAGGATTGCACGGAGTCGGGGATGCGTTCGACGTCGTTTGTGTTGAGGCCGGACTTTGAGATGGAGGATTGGCGGGTGGGTTCTTCGGGGCCGGCGGTCTTTTCGTCTTTTTGACCGGCACGGACTTCGCCGTAGGCGTCTTCGTAGTAGTTCTTGACGGGGTTGTCGCCCTTTCCGGGGAACGGGAGCCAGGGGTCGTCCTTGAGCAAGTAGGGACCAAGGAGAAGATGGTAGAACTGGACGCGAGCATCCTCCTTGACCAGGCGACGGTAGAAGTACGGCATGAAGAAGACAAGGGAAATGAGCAAACATCCACCAAACACACCGAGAACAATGCCAACGACCTTTCCGGCGCCGAACTCCTCGAGATCACCGACGGTAGGAGCTTCGATGAAAATAAACAGGGCTAGGATAGCACCAGTCACAGACAGGTACACCGGGATTAACCGCATAGCCCATTTGAACGAGTCCTTTCGCTCGAGAACAGAGTACTTGAGGGTACCGAAGATGATGGCCGCGAAACCCGCCGCGATACCAGGGGCGATACCCCACGAGGCAGCAGTCTGCGAGACACTTCCGCTCGTCCATTCCCAGTGGATGGAGGTTTGCGTGGCAAAACCAACACCAACCAAAGCACCGATTGTAGTCTGCGTGGTCGACACCGGCCATCCCAGACCCGTAGCCACCATGAGCCAGGTAGCACTGCCAACCTCAGCACAACCCATGGCCAGCATGAGAGTACCGGGGTTTCCCTTGAAGCGATCGAGCTCGATAATGCCGCTCTTGATGGTATCCGTGACACGAGAACCCAGTGCAACGGCACCGATGAACTCTGTACAAGCCGCTAGGATACCGACGTGCCACATCTCCAGGGTGCGAGCGGCGACGGACGTAGCGTAGGAATTGGCGACATCGTTGGCACCGTTACCAAAGGCACTGAAGACAAAGGCAATGGTGGTGAGGGCGAGGATCCAGTCGTACTTGGCGGTGGCTGCGGGGATCATTTTGCCTGCCGATGTAGAGGGTAGACGTTGAGTTGACAGTTGACAGTTACACAAAAGCAAGGAGTCAAGATGTGAGATCTTATATATGGCTCATGTATTGCCTCATGCAGGCCTCATGTAGGCCTCATGATATAAGCCTTCCACGAATGATAGATAGATGAGAGGTGAGTGCCCTAATACCAGCCTAGGATTGGCTCCCGCCTACGGAGCGGACTTGGCATCGCCAAGCATCCCGCCAAGGACAGCCAAGTGCGGCCAAGGATGACAGCTGCCAAACAGACCAATCAGCATACTTATATAGCCCTCGTGCTGGTATACTCTATATTCTTTTGATGGAAATAGCGAACAGACGCCGTGGCGGAGCGGCTGGACTCGTTGATAATGCCTGTTCGATTGCTTGGCTCCCGCTTGCAAACGACAATTGTGGTTAGTTTGCCATCCTCATGCACGTAGTAAACCATGCGTCCGTCGTGGCAGGGGCAAAAGAGAGCACGTGGTTGATACTTGTTCAAGTATTCGAATTATGAGAGATTGGAATCGAACAAGCCGTCTCAGTATGGCTTTGTAGACAAGAATACGAAGCTCATCTCCGATATAGGTGTTTCAGGATTGATGCTTGATCCGAAGTCGCCTCGTATTGAATCAGAGACATTAGAATGCCCAGACGGGCGAAGACGGAGACGACGGTAGCATAGAAATGAGCAGTCGTAGCGTCATTAGATAGAGGGGCTCTCACGTGCTCAGTGTCCTCTTTCGTCTTTTGTACGATACCAGCATAAAGTTATGAATGCACCGTTACAGATCTTTCTCAAGATATACACACGTATCAACGCACTGCTTTTCTCTTCCGGATAATGGCCAGTCCTGTAAGTCGCAATTCTCCGATTTGATCTATCAACTGTCATGTACACTAGCCCCGATCCAGTTAGGGTATGTGATAGGTCACGAGACCGTTGACCGTTTTTGGTCCACGAATATACTGGTACATATTCATCTCAGCATGAAACACTCTCAACACTGATAATAGGCCTGCGTATCTGCAGCCTGCTTACGGATGTAGGGTACGCGGTCCAGAGTGAGACCGTTGTCGAGTCAGCCATACTTGTACACACCAATCACCAAACAACCAGACGAACACCCGTTCACGACAGCACGATAGATCATCAACACACGAGACAGATAACGCCCCTGCAGACCATGAGGATTTACCTCTCACATGCGGGATTGACAGCGCAGAGTACTTTTGTCTCATTTACCAGAATAAATACATACATATACATATAGACATGCATCCTCGTGCTCTCACATTTACCATCCACAATTGAATGAGTGAGGAAAATGTCCTCCCTATCAATCGACAAAGGCCCGGCTGTCCTAACAACTCTCTGGTCATTAACATCCGCCAGTCTATTATTCGTCCTCGCGCGTCTGCTGGTCAGACTGCGCATTCTACAAAAAGCTGGATGGGATGATATCCTCATCACCTTTTCAATTATCCTGTCCTATATTTATGATGTGATCCTGACTATCGCTGTGAAATCCGGATACGGACGGCAACAGTCCACCCTTACCTCGGATCAATTATCCAACTCGATCAAGTTCATCATGGCGGGCTTTGCACCTGGTCTGCTATCAATTGTTGTGCCCAAGTTGGCTGTTGTTGCATTGTTAATTCGCACGATGAATCCGAGTCCGAGGCAGAAATGGTTTCTTTTGGGGACGGTTCTTGGGTCTGGTGTTCTGCTCATGGGTTGTGTGGTCATTTTGTATCTGCAGTGTCGGCCTGCAAGTGAGATCTGGGAGATGAACGCTGCAGAGGGGAGTTGTTGGAGTATGAATGTTCTGGTGAATTATTCAATTGTTGTCGGTGGTATGCTTTGTCCTCTTCTGTAATAGTTGATGGGAGATGCTAACCTTTTGTAGGTATTGCTGCCGCCGTGGACGCTTATCTGGCTATATACCCGGCGGTGATTATATGGAATCTGCACATGGGGATAAAGAAGAAACTAGGACTTAGTTTCGCTTTGGGTCTTGGGGCGTGGTATGCATTCCCTTTGCCTGCATTATTGCATTGTATATTAACAGTCCAGTGCCTGCGTCATGGCCGTCGTCAAATGCACCCGCATCCCAACACTATACAACATGACCAACATCACCTGTACCCTCCCTCCCCTTTACACAAATACGGATAAAGCTGACTCCAAACAGACGCCACAGTAGACCTCTTCATCTGGACCAGGTACCTTTCTCCTCCCCACCACCTCATCCAAACCCAGGGGCTAATAAAGCGCAGCATCGAATCAAACACCATAATAATCGCCGCCTCCGTCCCAACAATTGCCCCATTGATCGAAATAACCCTCGGAAAGCGCATCCTCAACACCACCGAAAAAGACTCGAACCGCACAGGATCAAACCGCCACCTCGCGCGCCCGCAGCAGGTACACATTCATCAAAACCAGAAACACGCTCGTGTGTGGCTATCTGCGATTAACGTCGAGCAGTCGTATCATGAGTGTTCGATTCAGAGGGGGAGTAGTGCTGGGAGAAGTCAGGAGGATTTGGAGGGGTTGACGCCGACGGAGGGTACGTTTGAGGATGGGAATTGGAGTGGGAATGGGAGTGGGGGTGGGATTCAGAGGAGAGATGATGTGATTATTGAGTATGGGCGGTGGCCGGAGGGGATTTGGGGGAGGGATAGGGGGTTTTATATGGAGAAGGTGTAACCACTGTACAATAAATTATTTCATTTGTTTTGTCATGTCATATTATTATCAACATATCAACATTCTTTATAAACCAACGCATCCTGCTCCGTAGAGGCAGACTAGTGCGGATTGTCATCTGTCTGATCAAAATGCTGTCTCGCCCACGGACTCCTCAACCGAATCGCGCGCCCCATATAAAAGAAAATAAACGGAATAGGAACCAGCAAAATAGCAATGAACCCCAACAAACTACTCGCCCACTCATACCCCAACTTATTATACATCTGCGTCGCGAACAGCGGGAATCCACCGCCGACCAGGTTTCTTGCCAGGATCACGCCTGCTAAAGCGCTGGCGGAGTAGGTTTGATAGGCGTCGACGACGTAGTTCAGTATACTAAGGATGACGATGTAAATCCCGGCACCAAAGAACGAGGATGCGATTATGGGGACGATCCAGTGCACGGAGGAGTAGCTCGTCCAGCCGAACCAGAACAGACTCATCGGAATGAAGAGTGCGCCCAGACGAGCCATCCACATTCGTGCTTCGGGGACGCCTTTTCCGTCATTTTCACGCACGCGTCGCAGGTAGTATCGTTCTTGGAGGGGGTATAAGCAGAAGGCGATTAGAGGGCCTATAGCGAGACCGAGGAAACTGAGACCCTGCGCGCCGACGTTGAACCCGTGTCCCTCGCCGAAGACAAGCGGGAAGGCTTCATTGAACAGATACACAAGACCGTAGAGGAACCCGTTGTAGATAGCGCAGAAGAACGTGATAGGCTCGGTGATGAGGAAGCGCACGGGGCGGGTAAGTGTAATCGCAAACAGCTCGTGCAAGCCCTTTTTGTTCGCGGAGTGCGCGGAGAGTGTCGTTTGTGCGGACTGGAGGTTTTCCTTTTTCATCGTCTTAGCTACGCGTTTTGCTTTGCGGTCGAGGATGGTCGTGTGTCGTGTTTCAGGGACTGTGAGCACGAGAATCACCCAGAAACCGCCGGTGATGGCCATTAGTACCCAGAAGATATATCTCCATCCGAGGTCCAATGCGATGTATCCCGTAACCACCAGCGCCATGGGCGGTCCGAATGTACTGCTCAGACCATACACGGCCATCGGACCACCAGACTCATTGCGCACCCAGAGATCACTAATTGAGCCACCGGTGTTGGTAAGCGGTGCACCACCCACCAAACCAGCGACGAAGCGACAGACGATAATCGTGCCGATATTCGGTGCTAATGCGAGAGGGAGCTGGAAGATGAACAGCAGGAACCACGACACCGCGTAGACGGGCTGGCGGCCGAAGTATTCGGACAGGGGCGCCAGGAGAACTGGCCCGACGGCGTAGCCTAGGACGTACATCGATAGACACAGGGTGGTGACTTCTGCCGACACGCCGAACTCTTTCTGGATTCCTGTCGCGCCGGAGGAGATTCCACCTGCGCACCATGTTCTGTCTCAGTCAGCATCTTCCCATTTCCTTTACTCAATTTGGGTACAGGGGGAACTCACGTAACAATATTCAACGAGCTAACCAGACAAGTAATCCACCACTTGCGCCATTTCGGCCAATTGCGCGGATTATCCCTATCATGCTCGGCGTAGGTAACATAGATATTAAACGCCTCGTCTGGATTCTCTCGCGCTTTGGCCAGCGCTTCCTCCTCAGATAGAAGAAGTACCGTATCTTCACGTTGTTCGGCACCTTCTTCCATTTTCTCGTCGGTGCTGCGACGGTCGACGCGGTTTTCTTCTGACGCAATCATGGTGGGCGATCTGAGTTTCGCAGACCCGGGCAATCCTGAAAACAAAAAGGAAACGAGACCAGCTGGAAAACACACCGGGGCAGGTGCTCACTTAATAATTCTCTGCTCTGCCCACAAGCGAGATCAGATCCGGAGCGAATCCGGAGCCCCAGTTTTTACTCTGTACATCTCACCGGTTCTTCTTTCTTTCAGCTTACCGACCGTGCCAAATGAGATTAACCCCGAACACAAACACCGGTGCCGATTCGGGGTCCTCCCGAGTCGATTGTGTTGCCGGATTGGGGTAAGCTTACCAGACAAGCTTTGCCACGACAGCTTGGCGTTGCTTGTCTGGTTCGTCATTGCGCAGGCTAACATCATTGTACAGGAACATAGCAATGCCCCGGTAGCTTTCATAAGACATACTCCAGGGGCACGAAGACAATCCGGAGTCCCGTAGTACCCGTACGGAGGAACAGTAATTTATTCCCTCGCATTCCATTATTCCATCCTTCACAATGTGGAGCCCCACAATCCCCAATGGCTGATCGGGTCGAACTTGATTGGTAGGTTTATCAATTACCCTTATTGGTTAGATGTGTCATAGCTTGTCGCATTATTGAGCGGACGGGATGAGAGTCTGGATCGAGAGAATGATAAGGAAAAACAAATGCAGAAAAGGGTGCAGAATAAGCTGTATACGAAGTCCGTGGCAAAATGAAATTACGATTCCTGTTCCAGCGCAACTCGCAACTCAATTGAGGCCGATGGTTGAATTCCGGCTAAATCCAAGTGGACCTATCTGGGACTTTGTCAAACACCTCCGCAGCCGAATAATGGTGCCTGGAGAGGTTGCGCACGCTCGTCCCCAGTTCAGACTCCCCGGTTCTCGGGCGATATCGGTGGTATTGGTGTGGGGATGATGATAGGTCTTTTCTTCCTTTGGTGTTGACTCGGACGAGAAGCGGGGATGGCAATGAAGAACAGAGTATTCTTGCTTCATACATACTACAAATAGTAGCGTGATGTGCTGAGACGATGTTAAAAGCACCGTTTGCTCCGGGGCAAATCTAATACATATGCCTGAGGACTTGACGCGTAGCAGTGTAGCGGACCTGTTCTAGGGTACATTGTGCATTATCGGAGCGTGATACAACTCCAACGCCTAACCGAGTAATTTCCAACTCATGCACGGGAACATCATCTGTGTAGATGACCGGCCGCAAGGCGTGCTTTACTAGATGATGCTAGTGAAACTGCATACATTGGCCGCATATATACATTCAAGCATAAGGATCAAGTATTTTATACATGCGTGGTAATGACGTCACCAAATCTTACTCCGCCGTGATTCAACGACTGCAATAGCAAGCATATATAGCGGTTATATTCATCTTCCACAGTAACCATCTTCATCATGCCGTACGAAGGACACTGCATGTGCAACAGCATCAAGGTGACTCTGGATGAACAACCAGACACCACCTTGCGATGTCACTGGTAAACTTTCCCGATGCTCGGTATTAGAATATAAACTGACCAACGTCCAGTCGTAATTGTGCCAGATCTGGCGGTGGTAAGTGCGCGCAGAGCGATGTACAGAATATACAATAACTAATGAATCAAGGATCATCCCTCAACTACATAGTCGATGAACCCGATATGACCATCGACGATCCACACTCAGCCCTGAAGAACTATGAGGATAATGAGACCACCAGTGGGGATTGTGTTTTGGTAATCTTTCTTTCTTTCTTCTTTTTTCTCTCTTCTTCTTTCTTGTGGTCGCCCGACCGAACAGCAGCTGACATACATCTTCTACAGCGGCAATTTTGTAGTAATTGTGGATGGTCAGTTATCATTCTCTCAAGTGTCACACTGGATGGATACTGACAGTCAAAAGCCCCGTCGTTGCCCGGAGCCAATTCCCCAAAAAAACTCTGGTCAAAGCTTCTTTGTTCGATGAGATATCGCGTCCTGTCAAAGAGGTTTATACGGATAGGAAGCAGGAATGGTTGCAAGCTATTGAGGGGGCGGAACAGAGTTGAGTGTGTATGTATAGTTTGGGGTTGGATGTTTTGTTTGCATTTTTATATCAAGTTATTCTATGTTGGTTACAAATGCCTACTAAACAACCGGGGGCTAGTAATGTTCTATAATGATTGATACATGTTACTTGATGCTAGGTCTCAGGCTAAAACGCAAAGCGCATCCCCCAAACCAAGTAAAGTCACCAGTGACAGAATCCCAAACTGATCCACCACATCTATCATCTCCCGTGCCTCCTCAACAGTCGCAACCAAGCTCCCCACGATACTCAACTCCTTGAAGACAAGGTCAAAAGCGTTAAACTTCAACGCGTCCGTCGGCAGACCGAGAAAATGACCACAGCCGCAAGGCCCTTGTTCTCTGACAATCGCATGACCTCCTGGACAGCTGTTTCGGAGTCTCGATGGACGACTAGATCGGCTTTCAGGGGGAGTTCGGTGGAGAGATCGAGGCCTTCTTGTCGATTGTCGATAGCGACGACCTGGTGGCCGAACGCTTTTAGGAACTGCACCGTTAGTGCACCTAGGCCACCGATTCTGATGACACCAACTCGAAGCTCCGTGTCAGTGCCAACGATAACATGTCGCGCTATTGTAATTGAGGGTCAACGAACAGCAAAGCAGAAATAGGCCGGTATATGCACATTGCTAGAGAGGCAAACTGGAATAACAGGTTTGTACGCAACAAGTCGGCTCGCGGTGAGGTCCATAGGGCTGTTTGGTGATAATAAAGGTCGAATTCTTGACCCATACCTCGCGGGGGAGATTTATCGTTAATAACTGGCATCATCTGGATGCCTGGGGCTTCGAAACTCATTCTCGCTTCATTAACATGTGTTCGTGTCGTGAGCCGGGGCTATGGTCATAGTCCCCAGTACTTCCTCTGGTTTGGAATTCGCCTTGGTTTCTTAAGCTGCCGAGGCGTCTGTGATCGAAGGTGGGTAAGTGACTGCCCTGTAGAGTATTTTGTGATGCTCTTGATGCATTCTCACTGACCAAGCATGACTGAGCACCGCCATTCCTTCCTTAACATTCTCCGCATACCGTACATATCATATGGCATAAGCTATTCCTGCGACTGTTGTTAAGAGGAAAGTCGTTCTTCCGAGAAAGACATTTCAGGAACTTCCAACGGAAGTACATAGTATGGCTGGCTGTTATTAAAATTCGCAATTGTAATCCATATCACGGTAACCCCAGCTCCACGACATTTTGTCGCCAGTTGCATTGATGTAGGATTTCGCCCTGCGATCGTTATTCCTAGCTTCATATCGATAACGACCCTCCCACGAAACAGGGTGATCCCGCCCCAGGACACCCGAATGGAGGGTCTTCCGGGTCCTGACAAGAAAAGAATGAAACGTCCTCGATGTTGATGGGCTGGTGATTTGAATCGCGTATCATCGGTACCAATAATAGTGCTTTCTCTTTCCCAGGGGCTTCCATGATCCACGGATAGCTTGTTCTTCTCTTGGCGCAATCACCAGATCGCTTTTCTGTTCGCGGTGAGTGGACATCTCCCTTTAACTCCACTGGAGCACGACGACAAAAAGTGTCATGACAGCATTACCGCGACAACAGTCCTACCTTCAAGGCGCGATGGCCACTCTCATCTTTTTCGGTAGCAAGTACCGGATAGATAGGTGACAAGACATGCTACCACTGCCAACATTGGATGCGGATCGCCGATTATGCACCTTATTGTTAGAACCTGACATATTCGGCGATGGCGTTGTCATCATTTCAGGAGGTAAGCGGTATTATTGCACATAATGTATACCGCATACCATGAACAATAACACCCGTCCATTGCTCGTGATCGGCCAGGCGGATGGCAACGCCTAGCTCCATCACAGCTGTCATGGTAGCCATACTGATCAAAGTCACGTTATTGTATTACATGATTGAAAACACTGCTGCACACATCCACGCTTGCAAAACCAACCCGAATAGTCCGGTCGTAGGCGACAGGCGATTCTTGGCCACTCTCATTTAGAGCGCCACGAGGGATAATTTCCCAAACGCCTAGTTGACTTCAGTGGGGAGATATTATAGCTGGTTCGTAGCGTGTCATGTGAACCATGTGAGCTTTTGAGCTATCGATGACTTTCTTCCATTCATTGACGGCATTAGAGGGGATCGGATATATGACCAGTCGCCATCAAGTCGTTTCATATAGCATATACATTAGATATACAGCACAGCACAGGCCACTTTCGGGGCCGTGTTGAAGGATAGTAGGTGATACCTCTCTCCTACCGCAAATGATATGCGGGGAACGTCCAAGGGAAATTCATAGTATTGCTGGCCGTTATTGTATCCCGCCAATCCTGAGGGACTGAGGCGTGCTCGGATGCTAGGGATTGGCAGAAGCAGCGCCTAGCGTGTCCGGAATCCATCTAAAGGCGCTAATTTTAGAAGGGCATACCAGCAAGACGATGGCCCTCGGGGAGAAGCCCCCGGGAGCTGACCTGGTGGGCTGTACTGCAATTTTGGGATTCCTTGGATCAGGATAAACCCCCGTTATGTGGGATAGGTAATAGATGGATGTCGGTCAAGTGTATAGCCACGTAATTATAACCAACCATGTTCTTGAAACATGTAGAGTCTTGGGTTCCCTGTTCCCGTCTATTCTCGCGTTGCCGTTGGTTTTTTTTTTTTTTTTTTTTTTTTTTTTTTTTTTTTTTTTTTTGTGTGTGTGTGTGGCCCTGTCGAGCTTTCTATATCGTCAACTATGTAGATAAACAGCGCTTACCCTGTTGAAGTCTGATTAATATGCACACAACCTCAACTTCAATGTCATCTGACAGCGCCGCATTTTGTCGTATGAAGCGTTTCCCTAGTGGGGATTTGATCCATTGTATCCACATTCCAATGGCATTATACGACACAGTTGCGACTCGGGTAACAGCACCAATTGGGTTGCCAATCGGACGGTTTGTTGGACGTTTTTGAAGGGCAGTGATATCTCGCCCCCTCAGGAAAGAATTAAATTTTCGGGGAAAACACGCAGCATTTAGCGTGCTCGGGAGTCTTTCGAATGTGCTGGCTCCGTACGGGCATAGTGTAGCCTGTATGCTTACATTCTTCAGAGTCAGATAAAATCCCTTACCCATATTATTATTATTATATCATGGACGCTACCGACTCTCGGTCCAGCGTAGAAATGCAGGCCACCAACCGTGTTCTTAAAACGTGTAGACTTGGGATTACACGTTTCCCGTCTGTTTTCAGTCTCGTACTTTGTGGTATCTTTGAGCATTCTGTATATTGCCAACTCTGTGGATGAACAGCGTTGACGCCGGATGAATCCGTTTAGCACGCGCATGACGAGTATCTTTGATGGGCTTGGACTATTCACATATTGACGTGCTATGTATTCATACAGTGAATGTCATTCAAGCCAGTGTCATCCTAATAAAATAGCCGTTGCTCAACCGGCCAGAATTACCTCCACAGGATCAAATTATCAGTAACGACAGGATATCACATATTAAACAATAATGCGCTTAAAAGCTTACGAATGCACTACTCAATACTCCAAATACAAACAAAAACGCAACACTATCACTCCGGCTTCTGCCCATAAAGAACATGCACCTTTGTATAAACATGGACTGACGGATCCCTTAATTCCTTGCGTATGCCCGCGATCATGACTTCAATCTCCTCTTTACTCCAGCCCAGGATGCGCGTGAAGAGTGCGTAGCAGTAGGGGCCGATGGCTTCGAACATGTTGACTTGGTGGTAGCGGCCGAGGTCTTTGAGTTTGGGGTCTTTGGGCCAGGGGCTTTGGGGGAGCTTCGCTTTGTTAGTATCTTTCGATAAAGAGGCAAGAAGGGGCGAGGCGCACCTTGTAAATCTCCTCGGTAACATTGACAAATCCCGCCTTCTCCATCTTCTCCTTCCAAGTATGCGTCGTTCTCATAGGCTTTCCAAACTTATCTGACGAGTCGTGCATGAGGTTAACAGCCTCGAGAAGGCACTTGGCCTTGAGATGCGACTCGTCATCGGAGTAGGTGTTGACCTCGAAGGAATTGATTTCAAAGTATCCATTGGGCACGAGGTGTTCAAGGGCCTGCTGGAAGACGTGGTCGTGGTCGCGGATAAAGCCTTCGAGTTCGCGACCGTGGATGTAGTCGAAGTTTTTGCTGTAGGACCAGGGTTGTTCGTAGTCGTCGACTTCGAAGCGGCAGTTCGGGGGAATCCAGGAGGGTTGGATTGGGCTTAGGTCGTTTCCTATATTTAGTTAGAACCGGTCGGTTTGTTAACGAGAATGGGTAGTTGCATACCGATAACCTCTGATTCAGGATGTTCACTATCAAATTAGAAATTAGTCTCAGCACGTTCAGTCAAGTGGAGCACGTACTCAGCAAAATCAATGGCCCAAATACCCGTCCCCGTCCCGATATCCAGCACGCGCCGGGGTTCATCAATAGGAGCGCGATACAGCGCACCCCGGAAGAGCATCTTATAAATATGATGGCTCAAATCGAGACGATCCTGCTCTTGTTCATCGTTTGGCTGGGTATGTCAATTAAATATCCCAACCCCTTATCGATAAGCAAACCCACCAAAACATATTCGCCCTCGTGATATGAATGATACCTGCGACCATTCTAATTTGTTCAGTCGTGTCCTATTCCTTGTATTCCAGCGAATCTCATACCTCGTATCTAATCGGTCAGTACGTCAACTTCAATGTTAGTGGATATTGTAGCGTACGTGTATTTCATGGCACTCGAGGTGATGGACGTGGTGTAACTAGCATCGCCAAGCCTATCGCTGTTAGTATCATCGATTCGCATCGTGCAGTACAGTACTCACGACCCCTCGTAGGTCGAGTCGGCATCGTAATCCTGCAGAAACTAATATCAGCGGAGATCAATTGAATCCTTTTGTATGGAGACGTACATCCGGCTCAATAGCCGTACTGGCACCTGGCATCGACATGTCGTAGAGAAGAGACAATGGGATAGATGAGATAGATGGTGAAGATGAAGAATTGAAAGTGAAGAAGGAGAGAAAAGGAATTGCAAATGTTAACAAACTAGCGTCGGGCTCGCCTGCCGCGGAAGAGCGCCCAGGTCCGATCGACCGGGGATGTCCACATTCCAAGAAGAGTTTTGCGCATGGAGGGTTTAGAAGTCATAAGTACGGTCCTGTACAGTGTACGGAGTACAGTATATTCTGTACATGTACAAATACTCTGTAGCGAACGACGGAAACCGTTGACAGCCCCAGTTCCCGAAAGTTGAGTTTATCGCCATGTGGCAGTCCGTCCCTCTTGAATTCTCATCCATAATCAAGTCCACTGATCTCCTGCCACGTTGTGCTCGACGAATACGCCGTTTCTGGTTAGCGTGTCTTTCTCCTGCCTCTTTAGGAATGCCGAGGTACATCCATGTGGTATGATCAATTCATAGAGATACTAATACATAATAGGACACTCACTCAGTACAGAGTACATATGTAGTAGAAAGTACTGATACATATATCATCGGGTATCTTACCCAGCCGACCGTTGACTCCCCATCATTGGAGATCTACCGTTCCGTACCTTGTGGTAGCCGAGCATGACAGTCCCACTGAACATGGACTAGTGCGTTTAGTTTACCTGTTAGAGAACTTTGTTTGCCTGCCCTCAAGGGAGTCTTCCGAATGGCTTCTTCGGAACGCCTTAGAAATTGAGGATAACATCCAATTCGCCAGCGGCGGTTCCCTTGTTGGGACTATGACAGATAACCGTTACCCTAGAGGATTAACAAATTTGTCCTCGTTAACTATTCATCGGTTGGAGTCCGGACGGAGGACGGAGCCCGAACACTCCCAGAATCACCACCGCCCCTTAAACCCCTCCCAAAGCCTCCGTAACCCCCTCAGATACGCAGCAACCAGCGTCCACAAATACACGACAACCGCATATTCCAACTGTGCCAACTCACCAACAAATTCTTCATCTTCCCGTCTTCAATAATATTGGCCCACAGCGGAATATCCAATTCCTCCGCGCAGCGCTTCATCGTCGCACGGTCGGACATGACTTCGCTTCGACGATGCGCGTGAACTGCTTGGCGCGCGTTATGGCCCCCCGGCCCCGGGCTAGGAGTGGACTAGCGCGTCGAGGATGAATATGTAAGGCCGGCCGGTGTTGTGGGGTGTTTGCTGATGGCGGCTTGGATGCGTGTGTAGGCTGAGCCGCGGCTTATGATGAATTTTCCTTGTATGGCCGCATCCTACCCATCGCACATTAGTATTCATCCCAACTCAACCTCATAGAAAGGTAAGCCCATGTCTAATTCCTCAAACAACGCCCGCGGCCCCAGCCTCTGCAAAACATCCACCGCCCTCTTCATTCATAGTACTCCCATACCCATACCCCCGTATCCCCATCCACCATAACCGTCACGCTCGTCACGCGCACCGTCTCTTGAATCTCCCATTGCTATGTACCCTGTATCGTATCCGGAAGACCCAGAGAACTAGACACCGCGAAGCCGGAGGAAGAGCATAGGAAGCTGGCTTCTTCGACGAGGCGAGGTTAGGGTGTCGTGGGTGCAGGGGATTTGGGTAAGGAGTGGGAGGTTTGTGGGGACAGGATGTCGTCGTCCCCGTCGTGCAGGCGCGGATAATGGCGGCCGCGATGCGAGAATGCGGGCGCGGACATTTTTGAAGGTTATTGTTGTATCTGTCGTGGTGCCAGGAGGTGTTGATTTGAGTGGTGGTTTGTTAGTGAGAATCTCAATGCGGGGTGGAATACGGACTCGATACGGCAACACTACGGAGTGTCGGAGTACAAGTACATGCTACCGCAGGGAGTATTGCTCTGTGCTAATTGGATACCGCTAGGCAGCATAATAGCGCTCTAGACGCATATACAAATACCGCACTCGATCAACTTGTGTCGATCCTCAACACCGGATATATATCCCACAGCACTGCACAAAGCTCTCAAGTAGTCACGGTCAACAATTACATTCTACTGCGTGCAACGTTAGTAGTGCACAAGAGGAGGATGCAACGAAATAGACGAGGGATAAATAGTACATAGATCGAAATGAAGATTGATGTAGAGAATTAGACATGGGGCAGGGAGACTATTTATCAGTTGTGGGCACGAAGAGAATACAGTTCTGGAAACTTCGACATAGTAGCAAGAATTTGCAAGAAGAGCAGGAATCTACAGTAGAGGTTGGTAAACATGGTCTCAGATGTCAACAGGTCTAGATTCCGGGCTAGTCACAGCACAAACTCTTAACTATTGTATACACACCTCTTAGAATCACAATTTCAGCAGCACCTATCACCGACTTGGCATCGTGCACTGCACTCGCCACGCATCTCGTCCCAAAATTCAGCAAGAACCAAGGAGACATTATCCCATGTCTCTACTGTAAAACAGTCTTACCCCTATTAATCCCTGCGGAAAAGGCTTTAACGATACCACGTCAACCATGGAACCCCATCGCATCCCTGAACCGTGTACTGTACCTACATGCATGTATGTGATAACAGCCGTGACATTGCGTATGGAACTCGAGCAAATTCCCGAACGGGATGAAAATCCCCGCTGACTATGTGGTGACAGGCGACGCAAGGCTGGCGAATACCGGCTATCAGTGATGTAATGCCGATCTATATCTTATAGGGTGTGCCGTCGATGTCATACATTCTTGATATCTTTGGATATCTAATTGCTGTATCTCTACTATATCCTGCACAAACAATATACATACGATATACCCCGAGGTACATCTCTAGCCATAAAAACCCCATACAATCTCTACACAAAAAGTATGCCGACGAATGTATCTGCCTGGCACACACGCGGCTGGTTCCTGAGTCCCACCATCTCTGATTGGTCGCCATGCAGCCAAGCCTAATCTCACACAGTAGCCAAAGCTTGGCATGCAGCACCGCCTGATAAGTGGTCTACTCGTGATGATCAGACAGAGACATGTGGGGAAAGTAGCGTCATGGGTTGCCGTGCCGCGTCACAGCTTGGCCGAGAGGGTTTGCGTGATGTTTCTATTTTGGTGGGTGCTTGTATATAAGGACGCAGGTACAGCGTTGTTCTACTGTAACTCACAGATAACTTTCACTACCATTGACTATATTCTACTATCCTCTACTACCTCAGTCTAAACTCTACCAAAACTCTATCAAAATGTCCGACTCTGCCTCTTTCACCTCCGGCCCCTCTCCGGCCGCCTCTACCCACCACGGCTACAAAAAGTCCCTCTCCAGCAGGGCAGACCCCAACACCGCTCTCAACGAGCACCAACCCAGTACGTCCCCCCCCCTACACTTCCTTGAACCAGAAACAGAGTACTAATCCATATAGTGGCCAACATTGGCTCCGTATCAACCTTCTCCCTCCGCTCCATCCAACACACGGACCATGAGGGGCGACTTATCAGTACGTTCCTTTCTCCAGTACGGAGTACTTGATCGAAATGAGTGCTAACAAAGTGAACAGCCGAACCTGACCTCTCAAACCCCACCCGCCACCGCTTCGAGCGCCCACTAGACACCATTCGGAACTTTGAGGCTGCGATTGACAGAAATCGCAGGGATTATTAGGTTGATGCGCGTGTACTATACGGGATATGGGTACGGTGTTGATATATATGGATGCATATTGTATATTTGATGGTATATGAGTCGGCTGAACTGTTTATAGCGGGCGTTTTGGATGGAAATCATGAATTTATCTTTTTTGACTTGGAGTCAGTGCCGGTACAGAGTATACAATTGTAGATCTGTTGTAAAGGATTGAGTCTCAAACGAGTCGGGGACTTATAGTCAGGATGATACGCAGTGAACAGACCAATTTACTGATAATCTGCCACTGAGTACAGCAAAAACATCTAAACTAGACCTATACTGTACACACGAGTCACCAAATGAAATAGCAGCACAACCTTCCACCATTTCTCAACTCGGATCAGCAAAGCAGTACAACTTGCCTCTGTAGAGTTACTTCATTTCCGGATCAGCCTTGTGCATTATGCCAAGCAGCTGGACTGCTTTCTCCCCAGCCCGCTTCGCTTCACTACTACCAGGACTGAGTTGATCCATAAATCCCAGCATGGAGTTTTGGCAGCCAAGGATCCCAGGAAGATATAGATTTCTTGGTGTGATAACAGAGTAGTTATACCACCTAGTGTTCTGACGGCGTAGGAGTTGTGATGAGTTGTCCGAATGCCGTCTTCTCGCTGTAAATCGAGGAAAACCGATTCCTGATGTCCACACAACAAACACACATACCAGCTAAGGCCAATCGAGAAATCGAAACGCTAAAACCCATTGTTTTTGCAACTGCAGCATATTTCTTTTTGAATGAGGACAAGTTATCCTAGAACTGCAAGACTCTAGTCACATCGTCTCATGAAATTCCGTCCTCACTGCAAAACCGCAGAAACGGTTATATTCCTTTGCAGAATTGCAAGCGAAGCTAAGAGTTGTGAAGGGAACATGCTCCGCGAAAACCCATCGCATGGCATGGATCTGATGATGTACTGTGGCTGCAACAGATTTCACAAGCCGTCATACCGCTCGAACAACCTTTGCTGAAATGTCTAAGCTGGCGCAGACATGAAGCAACAAATGGACCGGCGGTACACTCTTAAGACAGCAGTTCGCGTGTGGCGCATTCCACTCTTGTGGTGGTTAATGAAGGCTGTAGGGGTATGAGCGAATAGTTCACACTGAGCTAAATGCCGTATTCTCACTTTTGTAGTTGAGTTCGGCTTTAGTTAAAAGAGACCTGGCTCATCGATTTCGCCATTGCAGCATAACCTTTCGGAAGGGCTGCCTTCATTGCTGTGTGATAAGTCGCGAAACCACTGTGTTTTGTGGTGGACCGCCTTTCGCTCGACGATAAATTTTCACCCCTACCATGTGACTCCAAGAAGCAAGATATAAACGATTTTGTGGTCTTGAAAAGTGATGGGATTTAAGGGATCGTTGATGACAAGACTTATAGCCCGGAGGATAAACTATCCTCATTCAAGGGCTCGGAATAAGCACAGAATGGGGATTTCCCAATTTATCGTAGCGACAGGAGTTGTTTGGCAACAGAGGACTTTATGTTCAGGCCAGCTTGTTTTGACATGAGCGCTGAAATGACCAGCGCACTGCCGAAATATTGTCGGAATATTTGATATTGATTGGTTTTGCAACAGCAGCATATTCCATAGCAGGCTGTTCTAGCAGTGTGCTACCGTCCACCCAACCAGGATATATCAAAAACACCCAGCAAGTTCACTTTGATATGTGTGCCTTGTCATCTGATTCCGTGGGTCGAAGGAGTCCTCTGGCCTCATTAATGCAGTGATCTGAGAATTTTTGTTAGTGTATTTCCTGCAGAACACCAATTGACATCGACCATCCCCGATGCCACTTGCGCCACTTGAAGTCAGGGCCCTGGATGTGAGGTGTGGCTATCATGAATGGAAGATGACTGGGGTAGTGTCTTGTTAAGAAGACCATCATTGTGTCTGTACAGCACAACAGTTATCTCGTGTATCTGGTGGCGCCCTTGTATGCCCCGTCAAGTCCTGTCGTTTGTTATGTAAAATGGACAAACTCAAGGGCTTGTCTTTCGCCTGCAACGACCAGCCGGAACTGAGACGCACAGGCAATGGTGTTGACGCTCAGGATCGACCGTCGCTGTCAACCGATGGACTCTATTTCGACCAGTAGAGAACCAAGATTGCCTTCACTGGGTTCAACTCGAACATCTGTGACATTTCTGAAAATCGAAAGTGGATGTTTTCCCATCCAATCTTCAGCACACTTCGCTCTTCTAGCAATTGCTGTTGGCGAAGCGATTTTGGCAGCCGAACCTTCAACCCGTCAGCTCCAAGTGCCGCTCTTCTCTTATGCATTATGACACAGACACTCATTGTGCCCATGGGAAATGTATCCAAGCCCGCGCATCCGCCGTGTGCGACCACATCACGTGGTTTCGTTAGCGTTGAGAATTCTCCCATAACAATGGGTTTGGAAGATTTAGCTTCTAAGATGCCGACCAACCTGCAAGCAGTCGATAACTTTGTTCAATGAAGCCAATTGATGTTCAAAGCAATTTCCGGTGTCCTCCGCGCGTTCTCTGCAGAGCTATAGAATTGTGTTTAAGTAACGATAAATTATCTGGCACGCGTCCCATGGTTGGGCCTCACTCTTTAAACAGTTGATCCGAAGCGCCAACCAATGAGCCCGTGGAAACTGAGTGTCTCTTAGTGTTTCTCTGTGGAATGCATCCACACCCACACATCTGCTGTGTGCCAGTATGTTTCTTGGCTCCGTTAACGTTGAGTATTTGCCGAGCGATATTACCTCGCAGGGTATGGTGCTGCATTGATTGTCGGTGCATGCATTACGATGCTGAACTTGACTGGTAGACCGGTTGCAACTATGTGCGACGAAGCAATTATGATTAACAAGAATTTTGGTACACTTCCCTTCTGTCGTCCGTATCTCGACCAGTTGGGTTGCGAGACACATCTTCCTAGGGTAAGCAACGATATCGAGGAGCAATCACAAATTAGTATACTGATTCGTGCAGTTGAACAGTCTGGCAAACTCGAGTATTGTGCAATAATGGCAATGGTTGTCGCCCGACCCTGGGTTGGCTGGCTTTCTCCTTGATTGTTTCTGGTCAACTCATAAAAGGATCGACCAACTGGAAACAGGTAGGAGAACTATCCAATAGATCTGGTGTCTTAATAATGATACAACTGTCATTATGGTTAACATCCTGCGCTTTGACCGTTCTCAATCTCATTTCTTGTATCAGTAGGTATTTTCACTCTGCAGTTTACCTCCGTCGTGTCATTCTCTAGGATGTAGAGAGCCGGGGGGTGCTTAAAAGCCGGTTAGTGTTTGAGGTGCGATGAACTGCCTGGTAGAAGAGGTGATAATGCACTTTCTTTTTAAAGCTTTTGCATTGGCGTGTGGAATCGCCTCGCGGAACGTATAATCATCAGCCACCATAGAGTACACATAGGACATGAGATGGCCTCGATGTGCTCAAGGGACTTGAAATGGTGGCCGTGTACCCATTGCGGCCCGGGTGCTGGTATGTAGTCATGAGATGTAGACGTAAATCTCAAAAGTCAAATGGTGAGCCGCAAGCTGAGCGAGGCCCGTCAGCTTGATCGTCTCGTGTCATCCCATTGACATCTCCTATGGCTTGAAACCGTTTCTTGTTATTGAACGTGCCAATATCGTCTTTTGTTGTGCTCAGATGTGCTGTTTCTATTATGGCGTGGGCGACGTCAATGTCTCGTCTCTCAGCTTTCAAGGCAACCAAACGGAGCTGGAGTGTAGAGGTAGCCTGACGCTGGTAATAATGTGACCTATCATGCTTAGATAGCTAACCAGTAAGTCCTATATTGAGTGTCGAGGCTCCGTTTTAAAATTTCACACAACATCATGAGCAAAGTTTACTGCTTAAGTGACTGCTATTCGCAACCAATTCTGGCAGCAGTCAAATATAAAACTGCCAGTAACATGTGCCATTTTTCTGCAATTACATTACAAGACAGATGAGGCTGTGTTGTGCTCTGGTGGAATGCGTCCGCACCCGCGCATCCTCCGTGGACTGCGGTACCGTTAGAGTTATGGGGGATCATCGGTTTCCGGAGATATCGCATGTCAAAAGTCGTTGAACATAGAAGCAGCCTCATGGACCTCTGGCGACGACTTTGATGTTTACGTTATACGTATCCATGGTTGGTTATCCCCTGTTGACTCGTTAACTTGCACCGTTAAGCTCGTCTTTGCGTTTTTGAGATATCCGTCTAATCTCCCAATCGCATTCAAAACGTGGGCTTCATTAGACCACCAAGATACAGTATCGCAACGTCGATTGTGCCCGCTTTTACTTGACCCCGTCACATTTTCGCCAGCTGTGGCTTTAGCATGCAGGTAGATTGTTAAAACTAGACTCTTCGTCTAGGGGGCAGGGCGAACGCAAGAGCTTGGGTGGGGTCTGGATGTCATCCGGGGTGCGAGCAATGCATTACCGTTCTGCATGTTTTCGCAAAAGGATAGTAGATGCGTCTTGCATCAGAATGGCGGCGGCGCGGATGGTATGCAACCATATCATGTGGGTGTAAGTGTACATCCGTTTAAAAAATTAGCTGCTGATGGGTGGGAATCCCCAGTCAGTGAATGCTGAGCAATGGGTTGGTAGAACAATTTGACGGGGTGCATGTGATTCTGTCGGAGGATATTCAATCCGCGATAATAGAGCAATAAGCAACATAGATTTTGCAATTGCTAGAACTTAATTATGGTAGTCTAAGTATGATCGAGCTATGTGTCGAAGACCGACAAAGACCAAGACAAGAAGACCAAGGCAGACGAAAGAAGCAAGACAAGCGATGGATTTGACGGCATGGATGGAGATGAGAAGGGAGGAAGGCAAAGAACTTGGCCGAAGCATTATCTACACTATTGAGTGGCTTGTCTTAGACCAATATCATTCACTGGAACCAGCCCCCTATATGCCGGCGCTGTCCCTGCAGTGACAGTACCGGAACCACTTCAAAATCAAGCCCCGCTTTTAGAGCATAGAAAGAAAGCTCGCACAGCAAATACACCTCCTGAAGAACGCTCGATCCACGCCCTTGGCTAACTCGCTAAAACAAAGATTAGAGCAATCAATACCACTATCTCAGCCACCGTGATATCCAATATCGTAATATGCCTTGGCAAACACTGGCAAGCACCGGATCTGACTGCTAATAAAGTGTAGCCTTTGTCAGGTAAAATAGTAGCTTGGCGGATTTCCATAACAGCTACAGCCAAGGACCGTGCTCAGACCGGAGTCTTGGTAAGACCAGTAAGACCAGGGAGTGTTTGTCTGTATTTCCGCGGATTTATTTGCTATTGGGTTGGCAATCTCGGCATAATCTGCCTAGCCCCGTTGAATACCGGCGAACCCCACGCCAATTTTAGAGCAAATAGACTACTGATTTCCGTTGCATGGCAAACAGTAACAAGAACCAGACCGCCACTCGTATATTATTATCCGAATATCATAGCAGCCCTAGCCAAGTCTCCTTCATATTCTGCTCCGCCGTACATAGCACGGAGTACTTGTACTATCTATGTACAGCAACCGGAAGACTCGGAATAGATAATCTTCGGCGACACAACTATCTTATTTTATCTATCAAATACTCCGCCGAACCAGTTAAACTTCTGCCGGAACTGACACGCCGTATATTGCTGCCTGGCTACCCAAAGTTCTAGAAATCCCATCCGTACTCCCGAACGCCCCTGTCCTGCAGTGCAACACTGCACTCCTATCACACTACGGTACTGCGCTACTGCCGACTATATATAGCCACTGAAACGAGTTATTAAACAAAAACATGGCCAGTCCAGTGATTGCTTGTCGCCGTGGATTGGACCTGTTTTAGTCGGTGGGGCGGTGGCATTGCTCAAATTACTGGTGATAACAAGATCCAATAGCATCGTGGACGAGAAAGGACGAGATTACTGGTTTGGGTTAGTGTATTTTAGCGTGTGTATTGGATGAATTCATATCCGCTGGCAGCCTTTGAACTCCATACTTCATGTAATACACAATATAAATAGGTGTTGCTAAGCCGAGAATAGTCACAGATGGCATTACTCTACTACTCCATATAGTACAATACTAGCAAGAACTGTACGGAATGCAAATTTCATCTCGTAATCTTACCGTACTGTATCAAACCGCCGTCAATACTAGTGTACGTTAGCGTGCGTTAGCGCATCCAGAACCAGACTAGCGCCCGATCTAAAAAGCTTCGCCTGGTGCTAATTTATGATTGGACGGTGGATATCTGACGCCGGCGCAAGACAGTGGAGGATGTACGTGGCGGGAGACGTATACATAACAGAGATTTCTCTTTCCTTGTCTTCTGTTCTATTCTCCGTTTCTGCATCCTCGTTTTCTTCGTTTTCGTTGTTTTCTACTTTCAATCTTGTTCAGTCACTCGTTCAGTCATTCGTTATCTATCTGCACGATGAAGCTCTCGCTTCTTTCTGGTGCTGCCCTGATTGGGTCGGCTCTGGCAGTTGACCCCATTGTTATCAAGGTATGCTACTTGCATGATTCTGTATAAGGATGAGTCTAATCCTGCAGGGCTCCAAATTCTTCTACTCCAGCAACAACACTCAATTGTAAGTCACTAATACCTCTTATCTATAGCTATACTGTCGCTAACTTGCACAGTTACATGCGTGGTGTTGCCTACCAACGTATGCTCTACCCCTATTCCACAGCATAGACGAAGCTGACCCCAGCAGAGGACGTCTCCAGCGATGACAATTCAAATGCCACCTACCAAGACCCCCTGGCCAACCCTACGGCCTGCAAGCGTGACATTCCCATCATGCAGGAACTCCGCACCAACACGATCCGTGTGTACGCCATCGACCCTACCAAGGACCACTCGGAGTGTATGAACGCCCTGGCCGACGCGGGCATCTACGTCGTGTCTGATCTCTCCAACCCATCGGAATCCATTGACCGCAGCGACCCTGAATGGAACACTGCGTTGTACTCCCAGTACATCTCCGTGGTCGACGAGATGGCCCAGTACAACAACACGCTTGGTTTCTTCGCTGGTAACGAGGTGTCCAACTCGCAGAACAACACTGATGCCAGCGCATTCGTCAAGGCGGCTGTCCGCGACATGAAGTCCTACATCAAGCAGAAGAACTACCGGACCATTGGTGTCGGCTACGCCACCAACGATGACTCGGATATCCGCGTAAACATGGCTGACTACTTCAACTGCGAGAGCAGCGATCAAAGCATCGACTTCTGGGGCTATAACATCTACTCCTGGTGCGGTGATTCCAGCTACAAGGCCTCCGGCTACAAGGAGCGCACCGAGGAATTCAAGGACTACTCTGTTCCTGTCTTCTTCGCCGAATACGGCTGCAACGCCGTTCAACCCCGCAAGTTCACCGAAGTCGACGCCCTGTACAGCTCCCCCATGGCCGATGTCTGGTCCGGTGGTATCGTCTACATGTACTTCCAAGAAACCAACGACTACGGCCTCGTCTCCGTCATCGACAGCACATCCGTCTCCAAGCTCGATGACTTCACCTCTTACTCCAAGCATATCGCCAGCGCCACCCCCTCCGGCACAAACAAGGCCTCCTACACCCCCACCAACAGCGCCCTCGAATCCTGCCCCTCCGTTAACACCGCCTGGGAAGCAGCCGCCACCCCACTGCCCCCAACCCCCAACTCCGAACTCTGCAGCTGCATGTCCAAATCCGCCAAGTGCGTCATGAAAGACTCCGTCTCCTCCTCGGACTACTCGGACCTCTTCGGCGTCGTCTGCGGGTACACCGACTGCAGCGGCATTTCCGCCAATGGCACCTCGGGCGACTACGGCGCCTACTCCATGTGCTCCGCCAAGGACCAGCTCAACTTCATCATCAACCACTACTTCGAAGAGCAGGACTCCAAGGCCTCTGCCTGTGACTTTGGCGGTTCCGCCACTACAACCTCGACCACCGCCCCCAGCGGAACCTGCAAGAGCCTGATGAGCGAGGCTGGCTCTGCGGGTACCGGCACTGTCACTTCGCAACCTACCGCGACCGGCTCGTCTGGTTCTGGATCGGAGGGTGCTTCTGCTAGCTCGTCTTCGTCGGAGGGTGCTGCTGCTGGTGGTGTGTCGCCTAGTGTGGCGATTGGTTTTGGATCGATGCAGTTCGGTGCTTATGCTGTTACTGCTGTGCTTGCTGGTTTGGGAATGACCTTGCTGTAATTTTTTATTTTCACTTCTACTGTGACCTTTTTTTTTTTTTTTTTTTGAGTATTATTTTTGGATATTTTGTTTGATTAGTGTATATACCGACCAGTGTCATTCGTTTGTTTAGCTGTGACTTACACTGCTTTTATTTTTTTTTTTATTTTTTTTTTTTTGAACTGTCTGAATAGAGAATTGTTTTAGTTCGGTTTGAATAAAGTACGTATGGTGCTCGTAGTGATGATCGGATCCACTGATTGACATGATTGACATGTCTATCAATGTACCTTATTTTGGCTTTTATTTGATTTATCTGATTAAATTTTCCATGTATAAAATAATACGAGAAAATTCAATGGCTTAAGGAACCGTGGCAACGTGAGGTTTGGATGGACCGTACTGCCGGAACGATATCTCAACATCCTAATTGGGAAATATCTAGTCGGAAAACCAACGCTCGGGAATAAATGCAAACGAGATTTCTATGTTGTATTTGAAATGTCATAAGCCACGAAGACCATCGTAAAATATACTTAACGACTGAGATCCCCCCTCCCCGTCACTCTGAACACAACCTCCCATCCGCTTCCCCATAATTAGGCCACATGCCCTCGGCCAAGGCATCATTTAAACGAGGCTCAACTGCAGATAACCACCATAATAGATACGATGCCTCCAATGGGTCAAAAAACATAGCAGACACGATGTACAATCATTAAAGAATCTGATTGGACAGTTTTCCACGGTCGTGGCGGGGAACAAACAAAGCCATACATAAACAGAATCCTGCTCTCTCCAAACCCCATCATTTCTCGTTGATATATTCCGGACTAGGGGCGGTGAAGGTTGGGGTGCAGTAGTCGATGGATGGGCGGAATGTTTCTTTGTCGGGCGACATGGTGGACTGGATGTGATTAGCTGATTAGAATAATTCTGATGGCGAGGCACGTATAGGTAAAGCAGCTGCTAATATGTAGGATTATGGGGTGAGTCAGATTAACCATCTCCAGTCACGTATCACACAAGCATCTGTAGGTGTAAGTTCCAAATGTTGGAGTCAATATACGCTATCCTTGATATTCAAAATACTACGCAAGCATCAGCTCTCACTGCCCCAGGAACAGACATTTGTTTCTTTGTAAAAGTATGGATATCATTAATTGATTCCTCGGAATATTAAATACAGCTGCTCGAATGAGGTCGCCAAAGAACATACAACAGCCGGGCTGCGCCAACCTGTCCACTGACCGACCAGCGTGTGGCTTAAGTTTGGCCAACGCCCAAAATGCATCTGACCTCTAACTATGGGAGGTGATCGCGCAGAATACTTTATCGGGATATGTATATACTACCCGTGCTGGCTCCGTCTTTTCTTTTGACTTCACATCGTATGAGTGAAGCTGTTGGTTCATCTTAAAGAGGGAACTCCAACAGGTAGTGGTTGTCTTTTCCACCCCCATTGTTGCTGTGCTTTAGTGGTATGTTGCACTGTGCAATTGGGAAGGTCAATGGCCGGTTCTTGTGAACATTCACACCTTCCCCTGTTTTTCGTAATCATTTTCACACCAGCATGTGTAACTGGTCCTGGATTTTGCCATTCATGACGGCCTTTGGTGCATTGCCCCCCGATGCATAGTTCTGGCTGACTTTGATTTGGCCCCTCTGTGTTGTCACAAATCTATTTTTGTTGGTTTGAGGTGATTAGTTATGGTCTGCATAAAACGTGCAGGGGAAACATACTCTGTCTGGAGTTGGTAGAGCTCCAAAATAAGCAAGGAGTAGGAAGACAACGGTGTGCTTCATGTTGATCATGTTGCTAGATCGAGAGACATGCTATCGCTGATCAAGTTGCCCTCTATTCATGGGACAGCAGCCAGCCATATATTATGTAGTGAGTTCAGGCGTGTCATGGCGGAAGAATTCTGGCGCGTCAATATAGCAAGAAGAGACGAAAAGGGAAGGATGAAAAGAAACGGAAGGAAAGAAAACAGAAAAAAAACTATATAGAACCGGGACTGGCACAACGATAACCCGGCGATGATTCACTTCGCTAAAAATAGAGGCGGTAGCCGGTGCAGATCATCGAATTGAATCATACTTGAGTAGAGCAAAATATAATCCTCATTCTACAACCTAATCTAATCTTCTTCATGTTTATAGGACATGTCAACAGCCACCATCATGTCTCTCCAGTTAAAGTTCGACGATGATGACCCATGGATCATCGAAGAGAAAATGTTCAGCCGCCTAAATGACTACCTCCAGCCTTCCAGCATCAAATCAGCACTCGATACCGCCCAAGCTCTAGATGCTCTCTTCCCGACACACCGAAGTGATGTGGACCAGCCAGAGAGTGAACCCAGAGAACCACCCGAGAGCTTCCTCTTGCATCCATGGCCTCTTATTCTCTATACCGCTGCTCAGATTCCTCATGACCATCCATCGCAGGAAAGGTTTGCGGAATTGATAAAAACTCTCAAGGGTTTGGTATCAAAGACTCCGATTGTTAGTATTGATGGCCATGATGCTAAGCTCTGGGGGGACTTGCCGTATATGTATTGGACGATATGGGAAGAGCTTGATCGTAAGTTTCTCGTTACTGCTTCCTCCGGACGACATCTAACGTGATAACTAGGAATGCCCGCCTGTGACGAAAACTCAAAGCAAAGATGGCGAAACGCTAGTTGCTTCCTCGCCCGTCTTACACGCGACCGTACCTATGATTGGTTCTCCCTCGCCATAAGCCAGGTTGGCGGCTGTTTGGAGGGTCACTCAGTGCCCCGGCATGCGCATGCGCATCGTCGCGATGCTGTCACTCAGTTTATTCCAGAACGGGACGAGGACATTGATCTTGCATTAGACTGGCTCTCTATATGTGGACATCTACTATTTAATTTGGATGAGGAAGTGGAATGGAGTGGAGGGGGTCCGCTGTGGAACGGGAAAGCTGGGCTTTGTCCTGAACGTTGGCAATTTTGGAAGGAGAGATTTGGGGAGCTTGGTGAGTTTGATGGTGTTGATGAGAGGACTCGAGAACTTGCTCGGAAGATAATAGATAAGATAGAGAGTATAGAGAAAGAAGCGAAGGCTCGTGACGATTAGCATAGCTGCATTAAAAGACAATAATTGAGGCCAGGTGTTTTGTGATTCAGGCTATGGCAAGGAAAGGCATTGACGATACTATTGTATTCGTAGCTGTCTAGATGGATGAGGGTGGATCTCCTCTATCCGGCATGTGTGTGAGGCTCGCTAGTGCGGGCCAATCAGGAGCGGGGTATATTGGAGCCTGAGGCTCTCTAACACCCCCCTATGACCCGCGACATATAGCGGCCAAAAAAGGAAACTAAAATACATGAATTCGTAGTTGTACATGGGCATTATCTTTTTGTCATTTTCATCATTATCATCATCATTAATCGTTTTCATCTCGCGTTTAGACCCAATCGATCCACAAAGCGGTTAAGTTCAGTGTCGCGAAGGGGTTTCGTAAGGGCATCAGCTAGGTTGTCTTTGCCAGCGACATATTCAACGTCGATACAGCCAGCTCTCAGCTCATCCTTTGCCAGCCAGTACTTATCGTCAATCCAATGGATCTTTGGCAAGTAGTTGGGGCTTCGTAGGTGTTCAATCGCGACTTCCGAGACAACGCTCCAATGTTTACGCTTATTTACTTACTCTCCGGCCATGAAAATAAAATAAAATAAAAAAAGAAAAAAGAAAAAAAGAAACTGGCATAATCACAAGTTTCTAAGTTATTTGATAATGTCATCCATGCTGAGAGAAGTTTATGCGATACAAGCTAGCCTCTCAATCCTTTACCTCGAGCCGTTACTTGCCATTCCCATCCATCTTGCAGAACACCTCAGTATAGACGAACGAAGTAAAAGCTGCATCCCAATGACACCGTAGTAATGCATATAAAACGAACATCAGACCAACACCCATCATAAACTCCAACCCAAATAACGAGACCAAACACCCATCGACGCCTTAAACCATCAAGGGTCCGAACCCAGATCCGCCTCCTCACCCTCAATAATGTCGTGAAACAGGTCCGGAAACTCCTTGATATCCGCAGTAGGAAGAACCACCGTAAATAACTTGTCAACCGCATCATCAACCACCGTCTCCGGCAAAACACCCGTGCTCTGCAACGCCTTCTTCAAAACCTCCTCCTGACGGCGATGTAGGGCTTTCTCGAGTTTCAGAAGGAAGGTCGTCGCAATAAGAAGTCGTTCAAGACCTTCTTTGGTATCGTTGGCCTGATATCATGGATATATAGGTTAGCGAGGTTCAGCGATAGAGCAGCTAGGGTCGGGGGTCGGGCTAGATTACCTTCTTCCGAGCCTGTTCGAGTTCCTTGTCTGTACTGTAGTAGGCCCAGAGCGTCCTGACGACACTGACGACACAGACGGCTTGAATTGCTAGACCGGTTCTGCGAAGGATGTAGATGCCGCGTTCGCTGGTCGCCCATGAGACGAGATTCTGGAGTGGTTGATACATCGTAGCGGTCGTTTGATGGTTTTGAGTGGATCGAGGGGATTGCGAGTAGTAGAGGATAGTCGTAGAGAATATAATCAAAACGCTCTATAGAGGATAGTTGATGGTGACGGATAACGGAAAGGTGCTGGTTAGAAAGAGAAAAAGACGACGAGACAGGCAGGTGAGCCTACTACCGCCCAATCGGGAAGTGCTTGCCTCAGGCAGAATTCGAGTATTCTTCTAACTAGTAACTTTAACAGATAGCCTTCTAACTACAACACTCCCATCCTTCCATGGTATCTGTAAATGATTCCGCCAAATTCCTGCGAGTAGATACAAGCAAATATGTTATCAGATCTTCTTATGGTCAATCACGTTCATGGTAAATTTCCCAGCAACTTCAACAATTTACTATCTTGAAGAAAACACCCCTCGTCTTCTATTTGCATTCATTTGTCGCGTAAAGCGATTTCTGTCTGGTTAGCTAGGAGTGTCTGCGAGCGTCGTACGCCTTCATAATCTGGTCCAAATACACTCAGCAAGCTCCTCGGAATATCCAATATTGTATTGCTTCCGCATTGCCTCTTTGTTCATTCCCTCGATAATCTTTCTGCTGGTACGGCTTAATCTCCAGCCAGCCAACACAAAAGCGAGTTGGATGAGGAGAGCTGCGAGAGGGAATGTCAGGAGAGCCCTCTTGGTGGAATCATCTTCCAGGTCCGGGAATTGAAAGAAGATCACTATGCCGGCGTTCCAATGTTGGATGGGAGATACGAAGAGAATGGTAAGGATTTGGGAATTGAATTCGATGTATAAGTCAATGAGATTGAAGATGTTGACGAGATGGACAGGCAACCACTCCGTTTGTATTGCGACATACTTGCCGGCGTCTTTCTTTATTCAGCTAGTGACTTCTACTAGATTTTGATCTGATACAGAACCAGTCTCATTTGATACCACTTTGCTAATTCAACCCAACAATCCAATACACATCATGCCCATCACATGTCGTTCGAAGTGGTCAACATCCGTACTAGGGACAGCCACAGTGAAAACCCTCCAAATCACGTCCTCAATCATTTCCTCCGACATAACCCCCTTCAGCATGAGACGTAGTATGTCCTCTTCTCCAGCGCGCAGGGCATGTGCAGTCTTGGATAGCTTTTCGATTTTGATCCGGAGGTCAAAGAGGGCATTGTTCACAGGGATAATTTCAGACGTAGTCATATCCTCCGTCATTGCAAAGCAAGATGGACTGGCTAACATACTCATCGAAAAGCCCAAAATAACTCGGGATAAGCGCGGGAACTGTCACAGATCGTTTTCTTCAAAGTGGCTCGAGGTTCTCGAACTTTGTCTTGGGGGCGACGACAGTAAAGGAGCGATGTGGTTGTAACCTAATCTTTCTTGGACGGCGTGCAAGCCTGGAACAGACATGCCACTTCTTCGTGACCGCAATCCACGTATTCTCTCGTGGGTCTTTGCGATACTTTCGATGAACAGGTATTTGTCATTCTTGGTGACATTGCGATTGTCATAATTGCCGCGCTCAACTTGATTTTTCCGTGGCGGCCTGACACTGGCCTTTTTGCTTTAGTTTGGTAGCAATGAAATTGATGAAGCTTTCCAAGGCAATGAGATAGTGGTATTTGAGCCGACTCAGGCTGCAGAGACAACTTCAATCCCACTGCTGGTAGAATGGCAGACTGGGTTCTAGACACAAACAAAACGTTTAGAGTTTAAGTCATAGACGAAATGGATGCATTGGATAGCTGGTTAAGATTAGAGACTCTCTCCGACTGTTGGTCACAGTAGGTGGGAGCAAGGGAAAAGAAGAGGCACCCACGGGCCAATACTGGTCACCGGATTCCTTGCTTAAATTGTCCGGCTTCTCATCGGCCACGGTTATCTCCTTAAGGACAGATGAGACCCAGTCATGAGTGTAGACGTGCGTTGCAACATGGGCGTTCTTGTAGACCGCCTGGAACTCTTCATGTTGACAGTGAGATGCCAGCCCATCAGGTCTGGGTCCTTCTCATGATTTACATATGTACTATCATGTATGACTTTTCAGATGAAAATCTAGTCAATGTTGAAGTCAAGGTGCAGGAGGCTCTGCAACATGAGACGGAGAGGCATTCTTGTTCCTCTGTAGCCATGATTGGCCCAAAAGAAAATGCGGACTCTGTCTGGCATATTTGTGTTTGACGGGAATGGCATGGTAGACAATCCCACCATGACTAGACGATGTCATCATTTCATAGAATCCTGTGTTCTCTAACGGTTGTGGATGAGTGCTCATCCAAATCAATGATAATTGCCATGTTTTGGCTGTTAACTGTCCAGGTGCCATGTAGATCGAGTCAAAGAAGAATGACTCTGTTGAGTCTTCGTAAATAGGGTGCAAAATGTGTAATATAAGAACTTTCAGGACACATCTCGTAGCATCCGGTCCCACGACGCAGTGCCCTCCGCGTTCCCTTCGCCCCCTTCGTCTTCGTACTAATACGCTATCAGTTTGTTAGGGGTCGGCCAAGACTTCTTGCGGCTCATCTGTTAAGGTGCATAGTGAGACTTCTCACGGGCCATTTCGATCTTCCTCGCGTCGTAGTTGCTTGATGGGTTCGAGGTCTTTTTCTTTCTGCTTTCGCGGCAAATTACATGTCCGACCCTGCGTCCACCTCATCGGCCCAGCAATCTCGAATCCCGGCAACTTTCCAATTGCTCCTCATCGACGGCTGCATCGAGGGACGTTATGGTCTCTCTCAAGTCGTTTGAACTGAACTTTTCAACCCGAAGGATCTTGGTGGCCATAAGGTCTTGTGTCACTGGTGTGTGCAATTTCGCATGTCATTTGGCAACTCTTTGTTCAAGCAGACCAGCTGCCAAATCCGCAATGATCATGTGTCAGACCCAGGTTATCTTCGGTAGTGTCTTGTAATTGTAGGCTCTCGCTGTATGTCTTCTCCTGAAGATGGTTTGTTCGAAATGTCCATATATAGAGAATATGCTATGCTAAGTAGGAAGTCTATAGTTGATGACTGTAACTTTCAGGTTGAAAATAACCATTCAAAGGCGGGTTAGCTTAGGCATGATTTTTCCTTCAACTCCTACCAGTTTCTGAGACATTGCCACGGTCTCGAAAATAACACACACAAGACTTTCTTCGCCTCTAAATTCCCGTGCGGTCTCAAAGCTGGCCTCTTTGGCAGGAATGATTTGATGATACATTAGCAGGTATTGGGCAATATCGCCGACGGCCATTTGTCGCTGCTTCGACGCATGTTTCTCATCGCGATACCGGTGCTGTGGCAGCGCGCAAAGCGTGTCCTCGTAACTCGCAATGCGTTGTATATGTTGGCAATATCTGCATTATCCCATGAGTCTGTTTCATGGACCAGTGTTGAGTGACGGGCAACCGGAGGTGAAGGGACTCTTCTGTGGTTTCCATATGCCATATCAACGCCAAATAGGACGTAGAATGTAGATGCTAATTGAAAGACGGTAATAACAGTAAGATAGCATTCTTGATAGACGACAAATGGTCTGGATAATGTAGGCATCGAGTATTCACTGTGGTGCTGGTTCGGCTCATTGATTTTCTGCACAATAGACCAACCAACAATGAACAGACAAAAAGAACAATGGCATTGTGCCGGTATGACGTCGCTTCGTATTATTTTCTTGTTCCTCCGCTGGAAAGGGCGCGAAATAAAATAAATAAATAAACAAAAAAAAACTCCCCGACTGGGAATCGAACCCAGGTCTCCCGCGCTTGCAGTTGTTAAGCTGACAAGCGGAAATCATTACCACTAGACCATCGAGGACTTGTTGTAAAATACTTAAATTTTATGTTATATGAGGCAAATTACTGCTATGGTATCGACCTGTACGCATACTTGTACCGAGTACAGAGAGTACTTGTACATTTATGCCAATTTAAAATTCAATTTATGGTACTATATTTTCTCGATCCGCACCCCTCCAAACACCCAATCGGATATCTATTTACTCTGAGCCACGATCCCTGCCGACCCTCCAGATATATATATATATCACCGTAAGCCGCATACACCCGGACCAAAGAAAGCATCTGCAACATGCTTACTCTCAAGCCCACCCGTCATCCCGTCCCAGTTCCATGGAATTCCACACGAATCTCCACGAGTCAAAAAGAACGTGGCAAACTTAATAATTCCGTTGACCGGGGTTACCCCGGAGTTAGGACTTTATAATTGTCAGCACCTTACCGCGCCGTTGTCAGCACTTTAATGCCCGTGCATGCATTAGACATGTAAATATATAAATACCCCTGTCGGTCTGGGGACCTTGTAGTTTTAACAACCCTAACAAACTACCCTTGTCCATACTATATTGCATATCATGTCTGACTACAAATTCGAAGGCTGGGTCGGCCTCGACAAGTCCGCTGCCAAGGGCCAGATGGTCTGGCAGGAATTCGAGCCCAAGGCTTGGGAGGAAACTGATGTCGATATCAAAGTGTCTTGCTGTGGTATTTGCGGGAGTGACTTGCATACTCTCCGGAGTGGATGGGTGAGCATCCCCCCCCAACGGGTTGATTTACTAGCGTACGCTAACGATGATAGGGCCCCACCACATACCCCTGCTGCGTCGGCCATGAAATCGTCGGCACAGTTGTGCGCGTCGGATCGCAAGCTGAAGGAAACCTGAAGATTGGCGACCGCGTCGGTGTTGGCGCGCAGGGAGAGTCCTGCCAGAGCCGCAACGGCGACTGTGAAGAGTGCGCTTCCGGTCGCGAGCAGTACTGCGGTAACCACTTCGCTGGTACATACAACAGCACGTTCATGAACGGTGGTACCTCGTATGGTGGCTACGCTTCGTACCATCGTGCTCCGTCTAGGTTCGTGATTAAGATCCCCGATGAGCTCTCCTCGTCTGAGGCTGCGCCTATGCTCTGCGGTGGTATTACCACTTACTCGCCTCTGCGCCAGAACGGCTGCGGCCCTGGTAAGCGTGTTGGTGTTATTGGTGTTGGTGGATTGGGCCACTACGCGATTATGTTCGCCAAGGCGCTCGGTGCGGACCATGTCGTCGGTATCTCGCGCAAGTCGAACAAGAAGGAAGACGCGCTGAAGCTGGGTGCGGACGCATACATCGCCACAGATGAGGACGCAGAATGGGCAACCAAGAACACCCGAACCCTCGACCTTATCATCTCCACCGTCTCCTCGTCTAAGATGCCCATCCTCGACTACATCAACCTGCTCCGTCCCAGCGGTACTTTCATCCAGCTTGGTAACCCCGAGGACGGCACGTTGGATATCCCCATTCCCGCTCTTATAATGAAGGGAGTTAAGCTTGGTGGATCGCTGATTGGTAGTCCCAGCGAGATCCGCGAGATGTTGCAGGTTGCGGCTGATAAGAAGGTCAAGTCGTGGATCCAGGAGGTGCCGATGAAGGAGGCTAATCGGGCTATCTTGGATATGGATGCCGGGAAGGCCAGGTATCGGTATGTGTTGGTTAACGACGCATAGATTGATGTGGATAAAGTGTAAATAGTGTACAATATATGAACATTAGTCATTTGATACTTGATAATATCCTTATTATTTGACTCAGTTATCATTTATACCATACAAGCCATTACGAAACCGTGTTACGGATCCATGTCTATCAACATGAAACATCTAGAAACGATTTAGATCCTTGGTCCAACAGACCACGTCTCCCCTGAATTATTTAAATACCTTCACTTCATATCACCTTTAGATCCTGTACTCACACAAACACAAGCATACACAAAGCAAAATCGACAAAATGCCCTCTCTCAAATCTATCATCCTAACTCTCGCCCTCGGCGCTCTGACCACTGCAACCCTCGAGCCAGCCACTTCCAACACAAAGGGAAAATGCCCTGCTAGTGCGAACTGCTCTGGTACGATAGACACCAAGCACAAAGCAATAGATTGGAACAAAGCTAACATTGAGACACTAGCGGCCAAAACCTCCACATCCATTCAAGCAGCAGAATGCTCGCACAACACTCGAACATCCGGTACTCATCCCACCAATTCTATCCATTCGAAGGAATGTAAATACTAACGAACAAAGAAACCCAAACCTTTGCAATCTTCAAAACAGACCACCAATACGACTCCTCCCACGGCGCCCCCTACGGAACCTGCGAAGCGTACACTTGCACTGCGCCTACGAGTTCCGAACTCACTGACGAGGATGAGGATTGTTGGGTGTTTTTCTGGAAGTACGTTCCCTTCGCCTTTGACTTGAAGATGGTGGGTGCTAATTGGGTAGCTCGAATGGCGAGGACGAAGGTACTGGAACAGGATGTATTCGGAGCCCGGATGATGGGAGCTGTGGGTGTGAGAATTCGGATGGGACATTTGTTGCAGGGAGCTCGAGTTGCTCTTAGGTTACTTATGGGGGGTAGGTGTTATTTTATGTATACTTTAGTGTATACCCCAGGGGTACATCGAAATGTTTTGCTTACAACTTTACATCGACTTGCAATGCATCACCATCACTTTGAAACATGAAGGATTTGGTTTCACAGAATTACCTCGCTCCCCACCGTCGCTGGCTTTGGTATTACCGCCCTGTTGGTCCTAGCTGGCGCTATTATGGCTGCTCTGGCCGCCGTTGGCTTCGCTGCCATCCCCCCTGCTGGTTCTGACACGAAAGTCAGAAACACGTGCGTGGTTCGTAAGCCAAAATATCGATCTCTCTGGTTGCCATATACCATATCAGCAAATATGGAGGGTAGATAGGACCTTACGCGCTTTATGGGCATAAGACACATGATTCCTATGGACAAATAGAGACCAGGAAGGCGGAGGTCATGGCCGCATACCCCTTGATAATTCGTGAATTCTCGCAAAACACGCCGTAAAATAGACGTATAATTGCAGGGTGGACTCGTCATAACTTCACACGCCTACGAAAGACGGCAGCTTGCAGAAATACCGATCAGTGGTGAGTCCGAGTTCAGAATGAGATACACGCGCTGCCATGCTGTAGATAGTAAGTGGTGATGCGGGCTGCTCTGGCTCACAAAGTTAACAGAAGGGCATGCTTCTCTGGCCATCAATATTCTATTGATGGGCCTACAAACCTGTGCCATAATCTCGTAGCTCGTGCTTAACATAGGGATTAAAGGGAATGTTAAGGTGTATTCCCTTGTATCATATCTGATTTTTGCGTTATGCAATCAGGGAAGCTAAAGTGATTTCCTCACGGCACTATAGGTCCGTTTCTGCTGGAACTGGACCTTTTAGATCCGAGGCGTGTAGTGCTGCTTATCAGGATGAATTGTTGATGGTCGTATTTTTTGTTAGATACCAGCATTCCTTCCGCTCCATCCGGGCTCTTGCAGCCCTAAGCTCGAGCGCTTAAAAGTGGTCTTGATAGCCCGAGTATCCAAGCCCATTCAACCCAGACTGTCGAAGACAGTCACCCATTGTCGGCATCGTTCAAGCTAGTTTCATATCTCCAGAACAAAATCAGGTATTTTCTTGGTTTCCTGGCCTCAAGTTCGTTCATGGCCTTGCTCGCGAGGGTGACCCGGCCACCTGTGCCTTCCTCGTTGAGGTTGTGAATGTTACCGCTAGACGTGCATGTGTTATTAAATTGGAGCAGGACCCTTTCCTATCTTTCATTATTCTCCTCCATCCCGATCACTTCAACAATTTACATGTCACAATTCCTTTAGCCGATCACTACAACTCACGCTTCACATTGACCCAAAAAACACTCAGATATGGGGACCCTCCCGACCAGTTGAGTTACTTCGTGTACTGCACCTACAACGTCCAACAATCAGAGACATATGCGCACCTTATTCCAGACACTGTCCCCGACGAGCCATTTCTAGAAAGAAGTCCGGCTGCACCATCTATATTTGACAGATTCGTGGTGAATCGATTCCGGAGCTACATCGAAGCATATTTTAAATTCTACCCCCCAAAACCAGGGAGCGAGAAGTTCCACAATGGAATGAATCTAGAATACATCCGCATGGCGGGCGGCGCGAGTATTCTCGAGGCGCGAGAGCATATCAAGACGCGTCTCATCCCGAAGGACGACGAAGAAGCACCGTATATGAAGCGGTATCGGATGTTCATCGTGATTGATTACGAGTCGTTGCAGTCGATCCTGGAAGGACCGGCGCCACTGACAGAACCGAAGGGACCAGTGGAGCTCTATTACAATGGGGCGATGAATCTTTATAAGGAAAAGATGGACAGGGAGAAAGAGATGTTTGTGAAATTGGTCGATGCTGAATACGACGAGGCATGTGGGGGGATTATCACTACCAGCAAGGGAAGGGGTCAGCTGCCCAAGGACAGTCCGCATGTGACTGTTTTTTATGGCTGGTTTAAAGTCTGTCCACAGTGTTTGTTCATGATGATCGGTAATTTGGAGATTTATGATGGTATACGTGGTCTATTTAATACGATTACAGATAGTGGCTGTCTGTACAATCAGACATAAAGTACAGTCCAGGCAAGGGTTTCTTAGACAGATGTAGACAGAACAACGTTTTGAATTCATAATTATCAATCCTTGTAATATAAATCAACTTCTTGCCTGATGAAGCGCGCTCAACACGCTCGGGAACCGATATATATAGTAGCGCGCGGTGATAGGTAGGGATCGAACCTAACAAGATGACACATCCAGCATCAAAACCTGGAGCTGTAGTCTGTACAGCCATGTAAGAAAAAATACAGTGGATATCTCTTCATTGTTGTAAGTGATGTTAGCATTCTCAATTATCTTCCTGCAATATAGAACCCAGGACCTCAAAGAGGATAGGAAATATACAGTACAAATATACAGTAGCCTTCCCAACACTTTGAAACTTAATTCCTTGCCCTCATCTGTCTACCCAGACTCATTGACAGCACCGTCCCGGTTCTGTTTGTTCAGAAGCAGTCAGTCACTATTGTTCTATCATACTCCATAACACGAAATTACCTTCAAGTTAGAGCAATTCTTGCAATTGGTACAGTTTATCATGTTGGAGCAATTGTGGCAATTTGTGTCACAGAGCATAGACATTCACTGAGCATGGACAGTCACTGAGCCTCGCTTAAACCCTTCACACACATTAGATAGCTCGTCGCCGGCAGGCCTGCCTCTTTCCTTTTCTCTCCTCATGTTAGAATTTTGTCAGATAATCTACCAATATACTCATATTGTTTGGGACTGTCACATAATTCTAACATCACTCTTATTCTTTTCTTTACAACTTCCTCTCTAGTGCATACAGCTAGGACTCCATCAGAGAGATCCACATGCTTGTGATAGAGAGCCACCCCAAACTGAACCAAATGAACCAAATCAAATGAACTGAACTGAACCAGTTACAATGGCACAAGACGCCACTGAACAAACCCAGAGCTGATGTGTGACTCTGGACATGAAAGAACAGGGTTGAAAGATTATCACCCACAAAGAGTTCCTAGCACAGTGCTGTGACCACCCTGATGAACTATTTGACTATGTTGCTGACACCTTCCACTGCTTTATTGACCTCAAGAATGAATACTGCAAGCAGATGGATGAAGAGCTTGTTCAGAACCTTCACAATGAGCTTCAGGACAAAGGGAACCAGATTGATGAATTGATGGCAGAACAGGATGAGTACAAGA